AGCATACTTTGATATCTTATTTATGACACTGGCAGGTCACTGATTCGATTGGGGTACAGGGGCGGGGGCCCCAGAAGCTCAGGGCCTTTAGGCATTAATTGAAGATAAGATGAGCATTCAGGGGCCCGCCTTATAGGGCCACTGGTATATTGTTTTGTGACACTTGTAGTTCACTAGTTGGAGTGGGGTCCAAGAGGCAGAGCCCCCAGAAGCTCAGGGGTTTTAGGCATAATGCCCTTGCCCAGGGAGTAGAGCTAGGTATTTCCCCCTCTTTTTCTCCCCCTTTTCTCTTTCTCCTTTTATTCTCTTCTTCCTCTTTTTCTTTATGGCATGGAACTATTTTGAGGAAGGGCAGAAGCCCATCCCTTCCCCACTACTAACGCAAACAACAATAAATTCCTTAAATACCGCTGTTAATACTTCATATCGAAATCAAATAAGGCAATTTGAATAGCCTTAAGCGTCACCCATTGAAATGTTCCGTATTCCAAAAATGATTTATGTTAGCAATATCAGAAGATTTAAGAAGATTTTTTCGAAAGTATTTGCTTTTGCGATATAATGAGGAAGAAAGGGGAAGCAAGAAAAAGGGGGGGGGGGGCGACGTACAAGAAAGATAGTACCTTACTCGACATGTGATTTACTTCTAAGCCATTCTCTTCTATTTGTTTGTCTACCTCCTAGCTCCCCTCTCTCTCTCTCTCTCTCTCTTTCTCTCTCTCTCTCCTCCTCTGTATCCCCTCTCTCACCTTCTCTCTTTTTCTCCCCCTCTTTCTTCCTTTTTGTACTCCCAAAGGTATAGGCCCTCCGTTCCATTTGCAGGCCAAAAGAATTATAAGGTTAAATTCCAACGGCATTTGAAAGACAATACTAATTTATAACTTTCCTCAAAAAAAAAAAGGGCTTGAAAATGGCTTTAAGTGAGAAAATAACGAGCATTTGATATCGGATCGACTTAAAGGGATAGTTGAGTTCTTGTTTCAGACCGCAAATGTCTTCAACGTGCTTGTTATTGCTCTGATTCTTATTCATGACATTTCTAGTGCCCTTTTAGGACGTAAAATGGGTATGAAGGTAATGTTAGACGCCTAAAATGTGTGAAATTTAGCCAATACGATCATACCAATTCAACTCCACTTTTAAAAAAATACGGGTGTGGTGCCCAACAAATATTAGAAATTGTTATATTTATGGATATTTCAGCCGTCTCTGTACCGATTTTGATCAAACAAAAAGATGATTTTGTCTTTCTAAATTGTATGTTCTTTCAAATTTGACACTCAGTTATCTCACCAAAAAATTATTGTGTTTAGCGCCCTCTTCAACGAAACTCAACTATCCCTTTAAGTGATTGCAATCAACTAAGTAATAGTCTGATTTTCAACCCTTTTACCGAGTGATGGTACGTTTTGTGCCGCACCAAGATTCAATCAGTTTAATAATTGATGTCATTCACAAGATGTCAGTCAGTCACTCAATATATAGGGTCTGACAGTGAAGTCTAGAAGATAAATGCGTTGCGTCTTACTTTTTCGCTGGGGTACGAAAAATAGGACGCAGACGGGTTTTCTTGCATAATTTGAATAATATAGGACACTGCTAATGGTTAAATTTCACCCTAGAGGACATACATGACAATATTCATAATTCCTGCAAAGTTCTACAGAATTTGATGTTGGCTGCAAAAGGAACATTATATCTTTGACTCACATGTTGGGTGGTTCATCACTTCATCTATATATAATCTTCACTTGGTAAACCATTTGACTCCAGACAGTGGCAGTGTTTATACATGTACATAATAGTATCACCTGTACTGGAAATGTAAAGGTCGTGGTTAAATAAAATTGTCCTTTAGCAAGAATTGGCAATAAAAATTGCTACTCGTTACCCAGGAGAGAATGGGGACCCGGTGCGATGATGAAAGCCTTTATGATACTAACCTGCCATTATGCCCGCAGGGTGACCAACCATATGGTAGAAAACTTCCCAGGGAGTGGAGATGGTGCACACTGTTGCGTGAATGGATTCGATGACCGGGGTAATAATTCTGTACAAGTGCTTAGAGAAAACATTCCGTATCAGGCACTGAATAAACTCTAATTTATTATTATTAAGGAAATAATAATGTTTTTCAATGCTGGAATATTAAAACTACACACCAAATAGTATTGAGTATTAACAAACCGTTCCCTCTCAGAATACCATTGTTTTTTTGTCAGTAGGTTCCTTTCCTTGGAGAAATAACGAATTACTGTAACAAATTACTCAAAAAATAACAAAGTGTGAATGTGAATTTCAAGTTTGTTTAATGAGACAAGTATGCTTGCATTACCATGAAACGATCATTAATAATTGAAACAAGGAAAGGAAACTGTGTTATATACGTTTTTAAGTCTGGCCATTTATTGCTGAATTTAGAAACGCACATGGTGTAGTTTTGACCAGGTCGTCCTCTGTTACCATGACAACATATTCCTCAAAAATCGTATCAAAATAATTTGAAACCATGTCACATACAGTCTAGTTTGTAAAATATGAACAAAGGAAAAGTGTTGCATTTTGATTGACTCCATGGAAGGCAACATCTTGCTATGAGTTTTGTTCCCCTTAACTCCCGCCGTGGCATGCAAGTCTAATAGGAGGTGTCGTGGTGTAGTGGTTCATTTAACTTGACTCCCAATCGAAAGGTTGAGGGTTCGAATCCCAGCCTGGCATTAACGTCTTTTTGGCAAGACCTTTACCCATCTCCACCCACTTGTCTAGTGGGTACCCGATAGGACACGAAAGTCAGTATAGTTTGATCAGCATTGTTAGCGTTTTTAAAAATGGGACTTGGCTGGAACTCCCCACAGGGAGTTAAAAATAAGCACAAGTTGTTACGGTAGGAGAACCTGAATAAAATGACCGGGGTAATTTTGTGAAGCGCTTACAGACTTCGTCGATGTGTTAAGTGCTATATAAACAGAGATTCTTATTGTTATCATCATTATTATTATTATCATTTCATACAGTATAGCCTAGTCTATTTTTTTGGGGGGGGGGGGGGGGTGCCCCACAAATATTAGAAATTGTTATATTTATGGATATTTCAGCCGTCTCTGTACCGATTTTGATCAAACAAAAAGATGATTTTGTCATTCTAAATTGTATGTTCTTTCAAATTTGACACTCAGATTTTCATTATCTCACCAAAAAAATATTTTGTTTAGCGCCCTCGACTGCAACAAAACTCAACTATCCCTTTAAGTGATTGCAATCAACTAAGTAATAGTCTGATTTTTAACCCTTTCACCGAGTGGTAGTACGTTTTGTGCTGCACGAAGATTCAATCAGTTTAATAATTGATGTCAGTCAAAAGATGTCAGTCAGTCACTCAATAGTGTCTGACAGTGAAGTCTAGAAGGTAAACGCGTTACGTCTTATTTTTTTCGCTGGGGTACGAAACATAAGACGCAAACGGGTTTTCTTGCATAATTTGAATACTATAGGACATTGCTAATGTTTAAATTCACAGATAGGACATACATGACATATTCATAATTCCTGCAAAGTTCGACAGAATTTGATGTTGGCTGCAAAAGGAACATTATATCTTTGACTCATGTTGGGTGGTTCATAATTATTGTCACTTCATCTATAATCTTCACTTGGTAAACCATTTGACTCCAGACAGTGGCAGTGTTTATACATGTACATAATAGTATCATCTGTACTGGAAATGTAAAGGTCGTGGTTAAATAAAATTGTCCTTTAGCAAGAATTGGCAATAAAAATTGCTTCTCGTTACCCGGGAGAGAATGGGGACCTACATGGCACGATGATGAAAGCCTTTATGATAGTAACCTGCCATTATGCCCGCAGGGTGACCTCCATATGGTAGAAAACTTCCCAGGGAGTGGAGATGGTGCACATTGTGTGCGTGAATGGATTCGATGACCGAGGTAATAATTTTGTACAATTATTACCTCGGTCATCGAATCCATTAGTGCTTAGAGAAGGCATTCCGTATCAGGCAGTAAATAAATCCTAATTTATTATTATTATCAATGTAGTTATAATGTTTTTCAATGCTGGAATATTAAACCAACACATTGAGTTCTAACAAACCGTTCCCTCTCTGGAGGTTCGTTTCCTTGGAGAAATAACGAATTACTGTAGCAAATTAATCACAAAATAACACAGTGTGAATGCATTTCAAGTTTGTTTAATAAAACAATTATGCTTGCATTACCGTGAAACAATCGTTAATCATTGAAACAAGGGAGGAAATTGTGTTATATACGTTTTTAAGTCTGGCCATTTATTGCTGAATTAAGATACGCAAATGGTGTAGTTTCGATCGGGTCGTCCTTTGTTTATTCAACCATGACAACATATTCCTCAATGGAAACGTGTTGCGTTTTGATTGACTACACGGAAGGCAACATCTTGCTATGAGTTCTGTTCCCTTCAACCCCCGCCGCGGCGTGCAAGTCGATAAGAGATGTCGTGGTATAGTGGTTCATTTAACTTGACTCCCAATCGAAAGGTTGAGGGTTCGAATCCCAGCCTGGCATTAACGTCTTTTTGGCAAGACCTTTACCCATCTCCACCCACTTGTCTAGTGGGTACCCGATAGGACACGAAAGTCAGTGTAGTTTGATCAGCATTGTTAGCGTTTTTAAAAATGGGACTTGGCTGGAACTCCCCACAGGGAGTTAAAAATAAGCACAAGTTGTTACGGTAGGAGAACCTGAATAAAATGACCGGGGTAATTTTGTGAAGCGCTTACAGACTTCGTCGATGTGTTAATAAACAGAGATTCTTATTGTTATCATCATTATTATTATTATTTCATACAGTATAGCCTAGTCTATTTGGAACAAGCAATAATTTGTCATTATCAATTGCATCGTCCTCCCAAGCTTATACTAATGACGACTCATTTTCTTTAAACAATGTAAATCAAAGATTACATTTTTTAAGTACACAATTTTGCCCCCCCCCCAAAAAAAAAAGAAGAAAGAAATGTGCATAGAATAAGTAATCATTAAATTGAATTAAAACGACAATTTTGAGTAACTAAACAATACCATCGCATTTTCCCCTTTCTTTTTGCTTGATTAAAACGAATGCAATAATTATATCTAGGTAAAGTATTGTGTTCTTTCCTCAGTCTTATTCAGGAATTAAAGCCTCCAATGTTGGGTCTAAAAAGGTTGAGTTAAAAGGTGTTAACTCAGCTGTTTCATTGACATTTCCAGCTGGTTGAGTACGAGTCGCGGGTGGAGGTGGTGAAAATGTTTCATTAACATTTCTAGCTGGTTGAGTACGAGTCGCGGGTGGAGATGGTGAATATGTTTCATTAACATTTCTAGCTGGTTGAGTACGAGTCGTGGGTGGAGATGGTGAATATGTTTCATTAACATTTCTAGCTGGTTGAGTACGAGTCGCGAGTGGAGGTGGTGAATATGTTTCATTAACATTTCTAGCTGGTTGAGTACGAGTCGCGGGTGGAGATGGTGAATATGTTTCATTAACATTTCTAGCTGGTTGAGTACGAGTCGCGGGAGGAGATGGTGAATATGTTTCATTGATTTCTAGCTGGTTGAGTACGAGTCGCGGGAGGAGATGGTGAATATGTTTCATTAACATTTCTAGCTTATTGAGTACGAGTTGTGGGAGGCAGGCACGTATAGCCAGAGTTTGATGTTTGGGGGGGGGGGGGGCACATACATGTAATCGATCGAGGTAAAAAAAAAAAGGGGGTCTAAAAAAATGCAACCGATCCAGTGGCTACGTGCCTGGTGGGAGGCGGTGGTGAATTTCTAGTGTCTTCGTTGTTATCATCAGCTGGAGCGACCATGACCAGGGAGAGGAAAGAGTTATAGTCAGCAGGAGAATCGCTATCGGCTGCTGACTCTGTCGGCATGTGTGCTTCGTGTGGAGGCTCTAAAATAATTAGAAGAAATGAGAACAATTTAGAAAAGTAAATGCTTGGTTCTCCTGAGGTAATGCCAAATAATAAATTCCTGAATACCAGTATACATGGAAGTCTCAATAATTGCTCGTCCTCATGTGACAATTAGGGCGATAGTGCTGTGGACGAATGTCCCCACGAGAAGAGGATCGATTTAACCCTAAAAAGACCGAGCTATTTGAGGTCATAATACGGCCGGCAAGGGGGGGGGGGGGCATTATGGCCCCCCTAAGATCTTGGCCAAGGAAGGTCCAATAATTGATGTGAAAATTAGCATTGTGATAGATTGCAATATATTGAATAAGATGGTAATACTTATTTTCTTTTATGTTTATTTATTTATTTTGTATTAATATTTTTATGACAATATGCATATTTGTTTGGGAAATATAATAACACACTCACATTTGTGAGAATTACATATTTTGATAGACATGTGATGCTATTTTGTCACCTAACACCCGAACCATATAGGTCCCCCCCATACCAAATTTGGTATCAAAATGTGCGGGAGAAATGAGGGAAAAAATATCAGTGCCAAAGTTTCAGGGGTTTTGATGCAGCGGCAAAAAATCGACAGTGGGAGGAGGGGGGGGGGGGTGGCATTATGGCCCCCGACTTTTTTAGGGTTAAGAGGGAGTTCGAAAATAGAAGTTTTTTTGACCCCATACTATGGGATGGCCGGCTTGTGACTTGGATGTCATGTCACCAAGATATCTCCATAAGGACCCTCAGCTGTAACAAGCATTAAACCGTACATCATACTACCAAGTAGGCCTACCTTATTTCATTTTTTAAATGTATTTATTTTTGTACAAATGGTCACTACCGGTGTTAGAATTCAGCAGATTTTCAGGCTTGTCAGCGCATTTGATTATAAAACTGGGCATTTGCGCTCTACAAATATCGAGATTTGATTGGGTTGGATATCCTTCCAATATATGGAACGGACGAACTCTCTTAACAAAAGTTGGTTTTCAAAGAAATCTAGGAACGAGGAATAAGGAATGGGTTCAATTTTACTTTTCAAAAAAAAAAAGAGAGAGCAAGGGGGTGGAGAAAAGAAACTTTTCGCTACTTAGCCTATACTATCTACGTTCCCATTGCAGTCGCTATACTCAATAGCCTCGTAAATTCGCATTTCATCTCTGTACAAGTACTTGTGCATTGAAATAATCCAAGATTGTGAATTCCGTTTCAATAAATTTAAATTTGAATCCATCGAATGATACCGCCCCTCCCCACCTACTAAATGTCGGTGCCCCCCTCAATGCCTCAACTCTTACTACACCATTGATTAAAATTGGGCAGCCCGATTGATATTTCAGATTTATAGGGACCTTCCATGTTAGCTACTCTTGAGATCGTTACACTGGCTTCCTTTGAACAAAGAATGATATTTAGATTACTCTTGTTTGTCTACAACATACTCAATAATCCAGCCCGACAATATTTAGATACCTGCTTGAATTCATATGCACCTACAAGGGCATTGAGGTCAGCCAGTGATCTTCTCCGTCTCATATACTCATTTACTCGCACATTAGCCGGTGATAGGACCATTTACTGTATCTGTTTCAAAATACTGGAGTGATCTACCACTTAGAATTAGACCTTCAGAAAGGCCTTGAAAACACATCTCTTTTGCAGTTTGTAGTTGTAAGATTATTGTTTCCTTTTACAAGTATTTCTGTAATTGTCATGCACTTAAGCACTTTGGGTCATATGGAAAAAGCTTGGTATAAGTAATTAAAATAAACTTAATAAGAATGATAATTGAGCTTACCAGTAGGAACGCTCTGAGCTCCAATGAGAGTCTCCTCAAACGAGGAGAAGGATGAGGAGACTACCGGACTGTCATCAGGAGTGGGTCGTATCGTTGGCTGGTCCTCATCAGGAACCCCTGGTGAAATTAGAAAGTACTGAGTTATTACATACTCAATATAAAGGCCTACATTTTAACTAAAATTGAAACCAGACGCTGGGGTTTTAAAGTTTCTGTCCAAAATCAGGCATTACAAAGGAAGTAAGTCAGAGGTCTACCTTTTAATTTGTTCCACGTGATTATATGTACAGGGTCCGGCTTAAATGAATAAGTAGAATGCAGAACAATACTTTTAAATCAAATGTCAAAATATTGAAATAGATACCTCAAACCAAACTCCCAATCTTTGCTTGGAAAGCAAATCATATAAATTGCCACTCCGGCACGACATGGCTAACATTTGTTGAAAAGTGTAAAGACCTCCGTTAGTACCCCTGATGAAAATCTATAGTTTTACTGATTAATTAATAGAGGTTTTTATTTCCGTACTAAAATAATGTAGATATTGACATCAGGCAAGTTCCTTGAACATTTTTTTTTGGGGGGGGGGGGGGGATCGAGGGGGTCCTGATTTTTGTTGTTGCTACATGTACATCGCTTAAATTCATTAATAATAAAGTATGGCGGCCTGAAGATTTTTTTTTAATTGTGAAGAGAGGCTTCATCTCCCAAGCTGAAGATGAGATTCTGGATATAGCAATCAAAAGTACCATGCACTGAGAGATTCCAGTTGAAATTATGAACTAATATTCGTATTCTTTCCCCTTAGAGTTTATTTCTCTTATACTTCTCTGGTCTCTTCTCTCGCTCTTTGTCTCCTTTTCACTTTTTCATTTCCTTCCTAATCTCCATTAACCTTTTTTCTTCTATACTTTCAATACTCAATATTTCTTCTCATCCTTCTCTTCGGAATATTTCTCTGCTCTTTCCTCTGTCCATCATAACAGCTCCTGCTCTCTTTCGCCCCATCACTTCTTTCATTTTCCCAAGAGCCTTATCACAACATTTTCCTCAGTATTTGACAAACATGATAATATAATAACCATTTGATAATTTCATGTATTTTGTTGTTTTCCTTGTCAGTGTTTATTTAATAAGGATCAGTTGAATACTTCTTTCATATTTTTACCGCGTACATAAACGTTTCATTCAAAGAAAACCAATATCCATACCATAAATGCATCCATGGTGGGTCTCTGCGATATCTAGCTGGAGGTCATGTAAGCAGGCATGGGCCTTGAGATGGCATTCACTTCTGTAATAGTCTCCGTTTGTTCCGCAGACAGTCGGCCCTGATGTCAGGCATGATGCTGGATTGATACAGCCACAGATTGTAGTGTTTGGTCCCGTGGCTTCACATCGCTGCCATGATTCACAGCGCACGCTCGCACACGGTGACACTTGATGAACAACAGCTAGTCAGGAATATGCACACAATTAAGACGAAGTTTTAACCTACAAGCTGAGCTTTTTAATAGGTTCCTCACATTTTACCCCGTATAACCTTCTACTCAATAAAATTAATTTCGACGTCTTTACAAAGAATTGATTATATAATACTTTTTAGTATATTTCATATTATGTTCTAATTTTGTCAATTATGTGAATTCTATTTGTGAAATGTGAAACAAAATAAACTTGAAAACTTGAAACTTGAAGTTCACATCTAATATTAAATTTTAGATATTCCAATAACTAGTATGATTTACGTAACGGATTGCATTTTACAGACAATGATTACCATGAATCCCAGCCTGTTCATGTAACAAACACAATTATAAATAGTTTACGTTTCTTAGCCTCCAATGTATTAAGGCCAGCCGCTATATATAGGCTATGCCAGTGTTTATAATTCCAAAACAGCCAGGGTCTATCAGGAAAAAAACCTATTAATTGCGATTTCAAAAGTTAAATATCTCTCTAATTTTGGACATGAAGAAGAGAAGGAAACTGGCTAATAGACTGAGGTGATAATCTACAACGATCAAGGAAGGATTGGAGAATTGTTATGGAAAAGGATACCCCAGTAGGCAATTGGTTAAAAAGGGTCATGTGACATACCTTCACAGGTGGGTAAGGGATCCGACCAGACCCCAGTCTCCAAGCATCGCAGGTTGTTTGTATCACCCCGTAGAACATAACCCGTTCTACAGTAGAAGATCCTCTCATCTTGAATTTCCCTCCCGTAGCCATAGACACCCTCCATGATTGCATTGTCTGGTATGGTTAGCTCCGGACATCTGCTCGCTATCAAGTATCAATAGAAGATGTAAACGCTAGATTCGAATAGACCGATTTACTAACATATTCAAATGTGTAGTGGTGGTTATTTTACCTGACTGCTAAGAAAGCATAAATGCTTGTTAGTAAGCAACCAGAGGACCGACGGCTTTAGGCCCTCTCCGAAAGATCTTGTAATGAGGATTAAAATGCACTAGCACATCGCTTTGGTTTCGGATCCGGGTCGCCGGATAACAAGACCGCTGCTCTACCAACTGGGCTATCGCACCTCGTATTGAAGTTTCTTTCCTATAGGGACCTAGTAGCGCTTAGAGACTTCGGTGGTAAGCGCTTTATAAGTAACGTTTTTATTATTATTATTATTATTATTATTATTATTATTATTATTAGTGACGAGTTATTACATTAACCTGTCATTACTGAATGAAATGCAATACTCGTAATCCAATCTGTATATCAATTACTTATTGCTATGTCGGACAAGCCTCGGGCAAGCTTTCAGGTCGTCAAGAACAATTTTCAATGCATTAAATGTGGATATGTTAGGGTGCGTTCAATCGAATTTTCGAAGCTAGAATCACAAACATGAATCACAATTCAAAACGCCGTTACAAAAAGCAAGGTCACTGCGGTTTGCGTTCAAGCGATTTTTCATCAACGCTGATTCTAGCTCATTGCGAGCCAAACCACAAAGAATGACATAAGGAAGAACAGAAAGAGAAAGTGATAGAATGATTAAAACAAAGAATAACATAAGAGAAGGTGAAAGAAGGAAGAATCAAAGAATAACATAAGGAAAGATAGAAAGAGAAAGTAACAGAATGATTAAAACAAAGAATAACATAAGAGAAAGTGATAGAATTATAAAAACAAAGAATAACATAAGAGAAGATGATAGAAGGAAGAAACAAAGAATAACATAAGGAAAGACAGAAAGAGAAATTGATAGAATGCTTAAAACAAAGAATTACATAAGAAAAGGTGATAGAAGGAAAAAACAAAGAATAACATAAGTATAGAAGGAAGAAACAAAGAATAACATAAGGAAAGACAGAAAGAGCAAATGATAGAATGATAAAAACAAAGAATAACATAAGAAAAGGTGATAGAAGGAAAAAAAACAAAGAATAACATAAGAATAGAAGGAAGAAACAAAGAATAACATAAGGAAAGACAGAAAGAGAAAATGATAGAAGGAAATACAAGGAATAACATAACGGAACAGGCCACGATGGTATAGTGAACGCAAATTGCATGCAAAGCGGGCGCGCGGTTTTTCCCAAACCGGAAGAGGCTTCGTCATGCAATCATGATTGAGAACTCCGTCCGTTCAATCGAATTTTAGCGACCGTGATTTCTTTTGAATCATGATACAAAACGCATCTTTTTCAGCGTTTCATGTTTGTGTTTTCAAACACGTTTATTTTTACGACCGACGAAAACATCGCTTGAACGCATTGCGTTTTAAACTAAACGTCTTTAGAAACCGTGATTCTAGGGTGAAAAAGTGTCGATTAAACGCACCCTTAGTAAGGCGGTATATATTGTGTTAGGTTTTTAGGTTACGTTTATTGTTGGGTATTGGCAGTGGTTCATCCAAACAAAATTCAAACTCGTATAATTTCTAGGGATGTTACGTTCTTAATATCTATGTTGTTACCAAAAAAACACAATGACGTTCAATTTCTAGGTTCGGCGTATAACAGCATTCATAATAACGGGTACTTTTATACGACGAATTCGAGTACAGCTCATATATTTCAAAAGGAAAAATGGACCATGTTAATGATAACTGCGTGCTATTCGGGGAAGTACCCGGACCAAAAACTATTTGGGAATAATATTGATGAGATATTTCTGAATTGCTAAAAAGGCTGGCACTCTAAGGATGAACAGAAAGTTAATTAGTTGTTTGATCGGAAAATCATATCGTGATTATTGTAAACACGGAAAACACGGACAAAAACGCAACATCTTCGTATATAGTTCAGCGAAACATATTTGTGAAAAAAAAACTATTAAACATTTATGAGAAAAGCCTCGAAATATTATCTTTCTCGTAAAAAATGCTTAACTGCACATAAAGTGGATGATCGAGTGCGCAGACATGAATGAGAACCTTTGATTATGCAATGTCAAATGACACCGCTGCCTTTTCTTGTGAAAATGATATATAATGGTTCTTATTCGATTTTTTTATCTCATTATTTTCACTTTCAAATGTAATGTTAGGTGCGCAGACATAAGGTACTCGAACATACCTTTACATACGGGAGGATCATTCGACCATTCACCCTTATGACATGTGATTCTCCTGGATCCCACCAAGCTGTAGTCATCTTCACATTCGAATGAAACCGAAGTTCCAGATGGAAAGATATCTCGAGGCTGCTGTCTGGAACCATCTAGTAACCTCCCGTGCTCTGGAGCCGCAGGGACGTCGCATTCAGCAGCTATATCACGGTCAAGAGAACAAAATCATTTACTCAATTTTAACTATATGATAGATTTTATTCTGTATCTTATTTTAAAACTCTTAGTTAATGTATTGAAATATTTCAATTTGTTAACATTTAACACGGTGTAGTGTGTTTTTTTCTTCTAAATCATAACAAAATACAACAAAATTGAAAAGGCCGTAATTATAAAATCAAGAATATAAAAGTGAATGGCCAAATAGCTCACTCGGCTTTGTCAACATGAAAATTAATACATTTAAAAAAAGAATACAGCAATACGGTGAAGTGATGGACTTAATTTAACTGAATAGACGTCTCTTGAGGATCGTTTCAGCCTTTAAATTAAAGGCTCCAATAAGGTGATGTAATTAAATTTTGTTTTATTATTGATAATTTCAGATATTATTATCAATACTGCATTCATTAACTTTTATGAACAAGATATAACTATGATAACATTCCACCATGGAAACAGTCTTCATTTCATTCGAGGCTCTATTCCTCTTCATGTTAATGACATTGTCTCAAAACGTGAGATACACATCTGCCCCATGTGCATGTACATGTGCGTCACCAGCATTTCTGCTGTAGTTTTCATTTTGTGTGGGTATGTGTGCGTGTGTGTGCGACAGCGCGCACACATGCATATATTTCATTTTGTATTTTGTTTTTAAAACCCTCAGATAATGTATTTAAATATATATTTTTGTTTTGTTTTACTTGCTCTAATTATTGAATGTTATTATTATCGTTATTGCATGTTATTATGTATTAATTGACTAAAACATCGGTGCTTAAAATTCAGTTACTTCTTTCAGTTTCTGTATAATATTTGTTATAATTCAGAGTGGAATATAATTAAGGTTGAATAGAATCAAATAAAGATCGCGTGGGATATTTGTGTAAGGTAAGCATACCTTTAAAGAGCACATGTACGCTGTGAGATGATGACGACCCATCGCATGTATATATGCCAGAGAAATCAGTAGAGACAGGATCCAACCGTTTACCATGAGAGTTTCGCCTGTGCCAATGCTGAAAGATAATAGAGAGAAATATGACCAACTGACATTTTTCAAAAGAACATCCTATCATGTCAGTCACCACAATAATTGGGTAAAATGTATTTGCCTTTTCTTTGTAATCCCTCTTTGTTTAAACTTTGGGACATCCAAAAGATCGACAGCTCTAGAGACCGAAAATGTAGGTCTAGTACATAATGTTGTCGGAATAATGGTCTGTAGCCTTCGTATACTTTCCTGAAGTCACTTGTGGTGGTATTTCGTTGTCTGGTCTCCATGCCTAATATTAACCATGTTGCTAACCCTGAAAGCACTTTTATAGGAATTAAATTTACATATAAGTCTCCGTCATTCACAAGAGGAGTTGTCAGTCGAGGAGGTCCAAACCATACACTTATGTCTCTGCAGACTACATCAAGACGCCTGGGTTTTCCAAGTTGCACGTACACCACGACTGTCCCATTACTTGCTACATCACGCCATTTATTGTCTTCTTGGTAGAATAAGACTTGTGCTTGAACAAGTTCTATGAAGAAACAACATCGAATCAAAGATTGTTAATCGATAAATGTATTGATTAATTCTTATTTATTCATTTGCAACAGAGCCGAGTATTGGCCCGCAGCTATAAAGGAAACAGTAATCAAAATGGTCCGTAGATATTCAATTAGACCCCCTTGTTAGATCCGGCCCTAGACCTTAAATCACATTTAAAGGAAAACTTAGACATCACACTAACTTCGATTGTTAGACTTGGGCCCGTCTTACAAAGAGTTGCGATTGATCCAAATCAATCGCAAGTTTGCAGTCTCCTATTTATTATGTACATAGTTGCGATTGGTATCAAGTTCAAGTTCAGTTTATTTCACATCCAATACAAAACTTACAGCATTATAAGATTCAAAATACAATTATACAAAATGCAATATATATAAAATATAATAAGAACAAACACAACAACAACAGTAACACTAACATTGATAAATGGGTGCAAATAAGCTGCGATTGATATCAACTCTTTGTAATACGGGGCCCTGTGCTCTGTTTATTTGCAATTGTTTTGGATCAACCACAACTCTTTTAATCAAGTTTGCTGTCTACTATTTCTTATGACGTACACTGTTGCTCATAAAGTTGGAATTTTTTTTTTACCCCAATTTATGGAATTATTTTGACAATGATTTATTCCTAATAGATCTAGATAATAGTATACATTCTCAGATTTTATTGAATACTAATTTGCCAGTGTTTGTTTTGCGTGACTGCTAAAGCATCTGTATGCTACTATGCTTATCAACTAGGGCTTATCAACTGCTGTCTACTATTTCTTATGACGTACACTGTTGCTCATAAAGTTGGAATTTTTTTTTTTACCCCAATTTATGGAATTATTTTGACAATGATTTATTCCTAATAGATCTAGATAATAGTATACATTCTCAGATTTTATTGAATACTAATTTGCCAGTGTTTGTTTTGCGTGACTGCTAAAGCATCTGTATGCTACTATGCTTATCAACTAGGGGACCTACGCCCTTAAGTCATAAATGACAGTAATGAGGATTAATGCCCCACAAAAGGGCACTAATATAGCACATCGACACGGTTTTGATCCTGGGGCCTCACAGTTACGAGGCCATTAAAATAAGTTATCCATAATTCATTGAATTTCCCGCCGGTCCCCAACAGAAACAAATCTTCTGTGTGCCCATGCCTTAATTGAGCCATAATGTATGGCCGTACAGAGGATTTTTGTTATGTTGGGGACCGGGGTAAAATGCAATGCTTTATTGATAATTTATTGCATTTTCTTTCTTTTCTTTCTTTCGTAGACGAACCGGAAGCTGGAATAATGCATGATGGGTAAAACCATATAGATGAGACCCTTTTTATTTTCTGTGAAGGCTTGAAGTATTTTACTGCAAGGTCTTCATAGAAGAAAAACATATGTTTAATAAAATATTGATTACGGTCAGGCCTTAAGAAAGAGGAACGAACGTGGTTTGTGGAATATTACGCCTTGCTAAAACCCCCAAAACAAAGAGGCGATCTTTGTTCCATCCTTCTAGCCTTTCCTTATTTGCTCAAAATCTTCGGTTGAAGCGCTTTCATACTCACGGCATTCTGGTTCTACTCCGGTCCACTGTCCTCCTTGACAAGTTCGTTTTTGATCGCCAATCAGTCTATGCTTTCCAGGATCTCTACATCTAGCAACTATCTGGGTGCCATCGGGCAAGGTGGGACGGTTATAGTAGCTAGTCATTCTTTTATCATTCACAAACTGGCGAGCCTCTCCTATGTTCCTTAGTACCGAACAAGGTTTTTCTGGAGCAAAACGCCACAAAATACAAACAATATTGAAGTTAGTCGAAGGGCCATAAACATTTTGCTATTATTAGAAGTTTGAGGAATGCAAATAAATGTTATTGCTTGCAATATTTTTTATCATCGTGTTGGGTGAAACTGTTTCAAAGTTCATATCCTTAGAGCTGAGAGTTAGACATAATTAGGGCCGTAGCCAGAGTTTGATGTTTGGGGGGGGGGGGGGGGCACAAACATGTGATTGATCGACGTCCTGGGAAGGGGTCTACAAAAGTTTAACCGATCTTGGAGGGAAAAAAATGGTGGGGGGGGGGGGTTACGTGCCACCCCACCCCCGATGCCCCCCCCCCCCCAACAGTGGCTACGGGCCTGGAAATAATAGATAAGGTAACTTTGTAAGATATCCTTTTCATAAATCAATTAGATTTAGATAAAAACATTAATTGAATTCACTCTAAAGACCCTATTAAACCTGATTAAGCCTCGCCCTACCCTGCCCCCCCCCCCTCCCCCTCCACATTCCGTCTACTAAAAATTCGATATCAGTCATGGAATGTTAAAGTGAAAAAAAAATATATATTGTTTACCACATCGAGGCCAGGGAGGGATCCATGTTCCATTAGAGCATTGTGACGTCACAGATTGTTGTGCCATAGCACCCGCATCGCATCTTACTGAGGCTTGAACCCTAGATCCACTCGGAACACCCACCGACCAGAGGTTACCGCCACCGCCTATGACCGTGTAGCGCCCGAACTGATCGCTTTCAGGCATGCATGGCGATGAACCAACTAGAAGGGATACACAACATGAATACACAAACTTAATTCCTTCAGAGAAGATATAGGACCGTGCATGTTGAGGAAGTTCGGATTACCAGTTTTGATGTCATGGCGTGTTCATACATTAATTTTATGTCACATAGTATAGTTAGTAAAGTCATGCTGTGGTAAGAGATATAACAAAGATTACCCCTCTCCCTCCCCAGTTTTAGACAACCAGATTTCACCGTGTCTATAAAGGCCTACAAGAATCGTAAGCTTTACGAACAACAATTACTTTTCTTCAAGTCTGAACGTCGTCTAAGGAAACGTCGGACATCGAAACGGGTTTAACGTACGTTTGAGCATCGTTTCGAAACAAACTCGATGACGAATTAAGTACGAAAAAGTGTATAAATGGACGGGGCTTTTTATGAGCGCGCACCGATTGGCCAGTTGTCAATTCACTCTTTAAATAATTTTGTGTTTGTTAATGTTTTTATTCTAGTGTTTACATCACTCTAACGTTATCATTATTTTCTATGCGACGTTCTTTATACAAGTTTCTTATAAAACAATTAATAGTTTCAACAGAGTACTAGGCGGTTCCGGTATCCGGGTCAGGCTCTGTTTATGCAACAATTATTTTCCTTTTTAATATCTAATGGTTTGGTCATGACCAATAACAGTGTACAAAAAAGGAAGGTCTAATTTAACCTATTTCCTGACGCTTTGGATCAGTTGCAACATACATGCTCTAGTGGACCCATGTGACAAAAGCACTGTTGATGATGAGGGTGCTCCATTCGACAAGTTATAGATTAGTAAATAAATAAATAAAAAAGTAAAACATTTGCTCTGCGGTAGATTCCTAAGCTGTCTTAATTCTTGAATTCATCTCTGGACCCAACGCTATACATTACCATAAGTCCATAACCCTAAACCTAACTTGAAACCGAACTGCAACCCTAAACCTAATCCTATACTTTTGAGAAAATAGGTCACTTTTGGATCACATACACTTGTTAGGCACACACACACACGTGCGCACACACAAACACACACACGCACACAAAATCTCCGTACTCAAGAATATCAAGAACATTCTACATATGAAATGTGTGATTAATCTGCTTTTCTCTATGTACATTTATATGTTAAAGTTGTGTTGATTTGAGGGATAATGCATTTCAAAATGCGTTTCTAAACTTAAATACTATAATATATTAGTAACCACGGTAACTAGGAATTGCAAACAATTAAACCATTAACGATTCATGCTGTCTTAGGTTACATAAATGCCGTAAAACACTACATGAATGCCAATTAAGTGTGCAAATACGTGGCCTAAATCAGTAGGGCCAAAAGATATAGACGAGGTTCCTAGCAGCAAACAAAAAGGCGTTTATATTATAAGCAACAATAATTAGAACAAACATCGTAGAGAAAGCCCCATGGTCTAGTAGAGGCGGATTATGATGATGATGATGAACAGCATTTGTATGGCGCCATATATCTGTTTCAAAGCACATTCAAAGGCGCGAGCCGTCATCATCATCATCTTCTTTTGGGAACCGTTTCACGAAGACTTTATTCAATGACAAATGACAAGAATCAGTGACAAATCTGCTGATAACCAATCAGAAGCAAGGATTTCAGTAGCTTATAATAAAAACTGTCATTTGTCACCGATGACAAGTTTTGTGAAATGGGGCCCTGTGTGCTTTCTTCTCCACATGAGATTTGATATTAATGAGATATCTTGGATAGTTTGTTTTGTTAATAGCTTGTTCAGCAAATATTTTATAACAATGTCGGATGATCTCATGTACACAATCTGAAATGTACTTATTTAAAACAGATAAAACAGATAAAACATCTACTTACCGCAAACTGAAGTGAGGAATAGTTGAATATATATCAATCTTCGGACAATGTCTTCAAATCGCCTTCCTTCCATCGTGGCCAACTGGTTTGACTGCTTCGAGGTAAAATGTGAGTTTATATCTTTTGTTAGTAAGACCTACATGATGGCATCGTGCTTATCAACGACTTATGTTTATTTATGTGTGTTCATTTCAGGATGCCATTGGTATGGATCTTCTCTGAGGTTCCGGTTCACTTTCCGATTTTTCCAGGAAGCGAAAAGAAAAAGTCATTGACCTAAAACCATTCATCGTCTCTATGGCTGCAAGAATGTAGTTCTATAAACACGTAAACCGTCCCTCTATCTGTTTCCTTCCTATGCTGTAGTCTATAAACACAGACACTATATTTTACACTATATTACAATCATTACTGTGTATTGAGTGAAGCCTGAAAGCGTCTTGGAAAAGAACAGGAAAATGAAAAAAGACAGACGAGATAAAGCTTGAAATAGAAGAAGAGAGAGACATTTAGGTGAAGTAATCAAAATAATTTAACACAGAATAATTACAATTGAGATTTTTATGACAAGGAAATGCCTGGCTATCATTATTTGCAAATCGGAAAGTAGTTTACAGACTGGAAAATCCTTGGAAAGGATTGTAAAGAGCAAATAAAAAGAAGGGAGGAAAAAAATGATCTGAGTATGGACTGTGGTCTCGGTGTAGATCAGACCCTAGCTCTCTTATGAATTAAGACTGACAAGTGTTTGTTCCCGCAAACTACAGATGTTCCTATATTACCCTTACAAACTTTCCTCTTTCGTTCTGTACCTCTCAACACCTTTTGTGATAAACTTTCCGGAATGTGTCATGAAAGAACAAACAAGCTCTTCCCACCTTGCTTGCCGATAGTTCACTACATTCCTAAACGATACTTGCCCTTTTGTGTCGATGACATTAGCAATGAACCATTATACAAATATTGTCTTTTTTGACGGGCAAGGATCAAAACTTTTTGCATCTCGAAACTTTAATGGGTACATAGTACAGTCTGGAGATCAACCAAAGAGCTTTATTTTAACCTTGACCCGCAAGAAGCAGCTATTACTTTGTCTATATCCGCATCCGCCCGCCAATTCACAACAAAGAGATATTATAATATTTCATATCAAAATCAAATGAGGCAAAAAGTCTTGTGCGAACATGGCAATTTCATATTCCGTCATCCGAAAATGACTTCTGTAGGCAGTAGCATAGGATATAGAAATTGCCCTTGAGAAAATTTCTTAAAGGTCTTTGCAATTGCGATATATAATAAAATGAAGGAAAACAGAGGGAGCGAGAGAAAGGGCGGGGGAGGCAATGTAACAGAAAGATAGTACCTCATTCGACATGAAATTTACTTTTAAGCCATTATCTTCTATTGTCTTCTAGCTCCTAGCTTCCCTCCATTCCCTCTCCCCTCTCGCTCTCTCTCTCTCTTCTATCTCACTCTCTCTCTTTCTCTCTGTATCTTCTCTCCCATCTATCTGTCTCTCCCTCTTTCGCCTTCTCTCCCTCTCTTCCTCCCCATCTCTCTTCCTTTTCTTTTCTTCATGTTGTCATTTCATCTATACCGTGTGAGTCAAAAAAGTTTAAACCTAGAAAATTGCTAATTATTTTAAAAAAAATCATCCATGAACAGTAAATCAGTATACATCTTATGAAAGACTGTTTTATCACATATCATTTGGTATCAGTTTTGAGTGGTATGTGTTCACGCTTGGAAGAACAGAAGGCATTGTTTGCGAGAATGCAAAAATCGACTTGCGCAAAGGTGATGCCTACAGTATGTATTATGTTGGGATTAACGGAGTGAGAGAATGAATTGAATGTATCAAATGAATTGCATTGCATATGCTTTTTGCAGAAACAAAGTCACACACACATACACACACGCACGCACACACACACACACACGCGCGCGCGCGCACACATAGTTCGTTGATATTTTATATTCGATATTTTATATGTGTGGCATGATTAATTTTGTTAGGGATATTGTTTGGATCTTCAAAGACCGAATTAATACCCAAATCCCTATTGTTTCATTCAAACATCACATAAGCAACTTTGGCCGATTTTTGCAGTCTCACAAACAATGCCTCATGTTCATCTAAGCGTTAAAACATACCACACAAAATGATACTAAATGATTCGGGATAACACACTCTTTCATAAGATGTATAATAATTTACTATTCATAGATGGTTTTTTAAAATTCAGCAATTTTCTAGGTGTAAACCTTTTTTTGACTCACACTGTATAATTTTCCCTGGGCAAACGTAGAGGTGTCAAAGTCGAGTCACCTGACTAGAAATGCACAGGTCGTGGGTTCGATCCCCGACACGTCATTAGATAAAATGTTCCTTTGACAGGGTTTTGTAAAAATTGCAACCCCTTGCCCAGGAGAGAATGGGGACCTGGCAGATGACGATGATGCCCGCAGGTTGACCATATGGTAGAAAACTTCCCGGAGGGTGGAGATGGTGCACATTGTGTGCGTGAATGGATTCGATGACTAGAGTAATAATTCTGTAACAGTGTTTAGAGAAGGTATTCCGTATCAGGCGCTTAATAAACCCAAATGTATTATTAATAAAGTAATAATGTAATAATGTTTTACAACGCTGGAATATTTAACCTACACACCAAATAGTACTTGGTTCTAACTAATCGTTCCCTATTAGAATACCATTGGTATCATTTTTCAGTAGGTTCGTTTCATTGTCCAAGCTTTCCTTGCTTAAATAACAAACTACTGTATCTAACACACAAAATGACGCAGAGTATATGCAATTCAAGAAGTTTAATAAAACAATTATGCTTGCATTACCGTAAAACAATGTAAATGAAAGGAACATGTGATATCCCTGTCCGGCAGCCATCACGATATACCTTGTTTTAGGGTCTATAGTTTTTTTTATTTTTTATTATAGTTCCTTAGACCATCAATTTGAAGAATCCGATTGCTGACACTCTGTCAGCCTTGAGCAATTTGAGATATGTGACGTCACACAAAATGGCCGCCAAAATACCCTTTTTTACCAAAATTAATGATAAAAAAATTGTTTACAGTATTTTGCTACATTAAATGTCAGTCAAATATCTTGATTTTTTTCTAGGATCACCACTAAATAAAAATTGACGATGTTGTATGATAAAAAATGGCATGTAAATTTGCATAATTCAGATTGGCGCCCTCTATAGACACGTTAACTTGCAAATGTTAAATGATGGCCAAATGCCAATTTCTAACATGAAATTAACATTTTTTATAAGTCAGACGCACTGAATACAATAAGTAAAAATTGTGCACCACATTTTGGTGTGATTTTTTTGTTATTTTGTACTTTAAAGGTAAAGATCAGTTTTGGAAACCCCCCCCCCCCTCTCAAAAAATGAAATCGAAGCTCTTATCACCAATCATGTGAAAGAATATGTTTTGACTAATACGTGATGAAACAAATTTTGCCGAGAAACCGCCTACTAATTGATATATTTGGTAAATTATTATATCTATTTAGACCTGATAGATATCGCGCACGTGTCGCGTAGTCCCATATACATCCTTCTGTGTACAGTGCTTGTAACTTTACCAAGACTGGGCCAAATTTCTAATCGTTTTTATGATTCCAGAACCTTGCAGTACACAACAATACTTATAAGCTAGATGATCAACCTTTTCTGATCGATTCCACAACGTTTCTTTCACAATGCAATCGCATGACCATAACTGGTCTTTATCTTTAATACTTGAAGAAAACAAGCTAGAATTTCATGCTCTCTGTCCCATAGATATGAGGTACCATATGGTTATAAATGCCCGTTTTTAGTGACAGCATTCCGAAATTTGATTTATATTTTAAGGTAATACATTCTTTTATATGAACCTATCATGAAAAGGTTCCTCTCTTACAAGGGAATTTATGAGTTTAATAAAGCGAAATATCCACCCAAAATGACCAAACATGGTTACCTTCCAATGGCTATCATTTGCTGCTTTAGTTTGATCGTTATAACACTCGACAGAGGCGCGAAAACCACAGAAAATTGTGCATGCTAGTTTTGCTTTGTTGCATTGGCACCGTGATGATTTACATAGGCTTCCACTCGCACAAGTGCACCGTATTAACCTTAATATGTTGTCCGGTGCGAGTTGTACTTTGTAAGTACTGTGACAGGGATCAGGGATTTGGTTTCCTCTTCTTTTGCATAGCCATAATTTGTAGGATCCAATGATGTGGGTCGTGACTGCAAGGCGTGCTTCCACACACATGTTTGCAGATGAGCTCTCTTGCCAACTGAGTCCAAAGGGAGTCAAATCTTCTGCTTCATCACTTTCAGCAATGCATGTACCTTTTTCAATCCCAAAGTATGCCCAAATAGTGTCGCATCCCCTCAACGCATGTCCTGCCAACATCGATGGAATGATATCTTCTAACTTGTGTACAGTGGCAGGAATGTCACTAACCGTTCGCTTTTTGATGACGCCATGATCATTGGCGTTCTAAGTTATTCATGTAGATAATGATGGACCCTAACAGCCAGGACCCTAACATACCTTTTCTCATTAGCAGCAATTTGAATCGCTTGCTGTACTATGATGTTGTCTGCTTCTTCATGTGTTATGGAAAGATCTTCCCTTGGCATGACATCGCTGCCTGGTATCACTTCAACAGATACCTCATCTTGACCGGTAATGACCAGCTTGTGCTTTTGCCTATTTCTGAACACCTCATCATTCGGCAGAATCACGCATACCGGTATTATGATGTCGATCAACTGTAGTTTGTTGTCAGTAGTTTCTGGGAGGGAAGCAGTGAGGTGGGAAGGAAGACTCTTTTCGATGACTCTCGATTCGTCATGACTTCTAGAAACCCTGGTGGCACACCAACCAAAGATCATTAGATTTTAATCCAGAGTAGAGCACAACCATCAAACGGGCTGTACAAAGGTTGCTCAAGTGACACGTCAACCTTTGTCAAATTCTTCAAGTTCGCCTTTGACCTGGTGAAAGCTTTCATGACAAAATATTCTTGATATTGACATATCTTCAACTTGCCTGCAGTCCTATTACTCTAGAGTAGATCAATTTGGTGCCATAGACTTTTGAATCCTCCAATGTTAATTAAACTACACCCTCCAAGTGGTTGAAAACTTCACCTACCTCGGCTCCATGTATTAAGCAACCTCTCCCTTGATCTCGAGCTCAACGTTCACATTGGCAAGGCAGCAACCAAGATTGCTAGACACTCAAAGCAGGCCTGGAAGAACACTTTACTATAAACCACCAACACGAAAATGAAGATCTACCAGGTCTATGTGCTCAGCACTCTCCTGTATGGCAGTGAGTCGTGAACCCTGTATGCAAGTCAGGAGCGCCGTTTGAATGTTTTCCATTTCCGCTACTTGAGGCGAATCCTAGGCATCAAATGGCAGGACCACATTCCAAACAAGGATGTCCTCAAAAAGGAGGGATGATGACCATCTACGCTCTTCTATCACAACGACGGCTGAGATGGCTTGGTCATGTCAGTCGTATGGAAGACGGCCGCATTTCAAAAGACATCTTGTAGGGAAAGTTAGCGACCAGAACCAGGACTGTTAGAAGACCTGGCCTTCGCTTCATGGATGTGTGCAAGAGGGATATGGAGGCCAGTGAAATCAACCCTACAAAATGGGAAGCCTATGCTTCAGACTGCCCCAAATGGAGATGCGCTGTGAAGACATGTATACAGAGGAGTGATCAGAAGAGAGTAGAACAGTGGGAGGAGAAAAGGCAACAAAGACGGCAGCTAGCCACGGCTTCAACAGCACAGCCACACATTAAATTTGTCTGCAGCAACTGCAACAGGACCTGCCTGTTTAGTCATAGCAGGAGCTGCACAGCAAGAAACTCTTGCTTGAAGCTGTTAAAAAAGAGGTACAATTGACGGTGTTCAAAGGGAGGGAGTTCCAGAGTCTTATTGTATCCGGGAAGAAGCTCCTCTTTTAGACAAGCATTCAGGCAAAATGAACAATTATCTTCTTGGAATGCCCTCTGTGCAGGGATGTTGATGGAGTGAGGAAAGTATGTGAAAAGTCTTTCAGCGGGTTGTTGATGCGAAAGATCATCACCACCTGAGCCTGTACCCTGCGTTCTTGTAATGTTGGCCACTTTAGCTGGTTCAGGATGGCTTCTACTTTGCTTGTCCTGCAGTAGTCATTGCAGAAGGAGCGGACATAGCGCCGTTGACCCATTTCAAGCTTCTTGATGATTGCTAATTGTTTGAGTGTTAGGGTCCCATATAATTATGATGATGGCATACTCCATGATTGGTTGAAGGCGAGTATCGTAGCACAATTATTTAACTTTTCTAGGACATGGTTGGATATTTCTTTGAAGAAAGGCACGGGTGGAGTTGGAGTATTTGCTGATAATGTTGATATGTGGGTTCCAGCTGAGGTTTTTCTGTGACTCAACACCCCGATACTTTGCTATATTTTTGTCATCTAGGGTCTGTCCGTGAATTTGATGATGGATTTGCGTTTATTGGTGACATGTAGAACCTGACATTTATGTGGGATGAATTCCATCAGCCAATAACGCTCCCAGCGTTGCAGTGAGTCAAGATCCTCTTGGAAACGTTAGGCGTCTTCCTATGTCTTGATGTTGCTGTATAGCATGCCATCGTCAGCAAAGAGCCTGACTGTTGGGTTTGGGGAGAGGTACGGTGGCAGATCATTGAGGAAGAGGAGAAACAGCATCTGGCCGATAACGCTGCCTTGCGGGATGCCAGATGTTACTTGGCTGGTGTTGGAGATGGGTCCTTCCAGTAACACCTGCTGGGTCCTGTAACTCAGGAAGCCAGAAAACCAAGCATGTGTGGGTTCCCAGATTCCATAGAATTGGAGCTTGTGTAACAGCTAGCCTTCCATGGGGAACCTTGTCAAATGATTTGGAGAAACCAAGGAGTGTCATGTCCAATTGGTCTCTGGCATTGATGCCTTTGGCAAGGTCCAGGACAGCAAGGACAAGCTGTGAGACACAGGGTCGCTTCTTTCGAAAGCCATGTTGTGCATCAGACAAGATGTTGTGGCTTTCAAGGTGGTTCATGTTGCTGCTAAGAACGATGTGCTCCAGTACTTCACAGGTTACTCACGTCCGAGAGACAGCTTTGTAGTTCTCTGGCTTGCTACGGTCACCTTTCTTGAAGATGGGATCAATATATATATAGCCATCTTCCATTTATCAGGTATGCACGCTCTGGTTAAGGGAGGCTTGGAAGAATAGAGAGAACACAGGTGTCAGTTTGGTGGTCAGAAGTCTGGCTGGGATTTGGTCAGGACCAGTGGCTTTATGAACATCAAGCTCAGACAGGATCTTCAGAACACCTGGTGGCGAGATAGTAATGTGATCCATGGTTGGGTAGGGGCTTCGTCCTTTGTCTCTCAGACTAGTCATATCTTCATTGCAGTTGAAGATGGATGAAAACTGATTACTTAGAATGTTCGCCTTTGAGAGGCTATCTGAGTAAGTCATTCCATTAGATTATTTCAATGGAGCCAACCCTGAAGCATCGAATCGCTTGCCGTTTATGAAACTCCAGAAACACTTTGGTTTACAGTTGGTGTCTGGGCTGACAATTTCTGTCAGGTACCCGTTGTAGACTTTCTTGGATTTTTTTTTATAGAATCCACCAGGTTACTTCTGTTAAAACTCATGCATCTGTCTGGTACCGATGCCAAATGCTTTATCATCATTCACTGACGCTGGATCAATGCTGGTCTAAATAAAGCCTATGAATGGAACAATAATGTACCGTAAAATCACTTCTCACTGATTCTCTTGTAGATCTTGGTTTCTTTACATGTATCTTAATTTAGACCAAAAATATGTAAGATAAATGCAGCACAATCGTAATTATTTCATGCATACGAAGCATATAATATGTGTTTAACGTCACGTAGATCTAAGAAATTGGCATTTGGCTGGCACACCTATTTTTATGCAAAATTAATGTATTTATAGAGGGCGCTATTTCAAAATATGCAAATTAGCTTGTCATCTATGGCCGTGCAACATCACGAAACAATTTTTAGTGATGGTCCTAGACAGATACAGACATTTGGCAGCCCAAAATTGTAGAAAAATCCTTGTTTTATATTTATTATACATTTTTAGAGAAAAATCATGTACTTTGGCGGCCATTTTGTATGACGTCACATATCTTAAATTGCTCAAAGCTGACAGAGTGTCAGCAATCGGATTCTTCAAATAGAAGGTTTAGGCAATCATAATCCATTGAAAAAAAAACTATAGACCCTAAAACAAGGTTAGGCCAATAATCTGGATTTGGCTGCCGGACTATTTATTGAACCATTACAAGATATTCCACAAAAATCGTATCAAAATGATTAGTAAGAGTTACTTTACCTTACCATGTCACATATTCAGTCTAGTTTGTAAAATATGAAAAATTAAAAAGTGTCCAATTTCGATTGACTCCATGTTAGGCAATATCTTGCTATGAGTTTTGTTCCATTCAACCCCCGCCGCAGCGGTCAACTCTAATAGCAGGTGTCGTGGTATAGTGGTTCATTCACTTGACTCTCAACCGAAAGGTTGATGGTTCGAATCCCAGCCTGGTATTAACGTCCTTTTTGCAAGACATTAATCCAATTCTAATCCAATTTTACCACTCTCTTCCCAGGTGTTAAATGGGTACCCCGGTAGGGTGCGAAAGGCATTGTAGTTTGATCAGCATTTATAGCGTTTGTAAAATATGGGACTTGGCTGGAATTTCAACAGGGAGTGGAAATATATAAATCAAATGACCGGGATAGTTCTATGTAGAGCGTGTATATACATCATCGATGTGTTAAGTACTATATAAACAGAAAATATCATTATTATTATTATCATTATTTTCATTATTATTTAATACAGTACTCTAAATGGAACAAGCAATTATTTTCATTAGCAATTTCAATTTTCAAAAGGGCCGTCCTCTGAAGCTTACTCTACATAGTGACTTATTCTCTTTATAAGACATTGGTCTAAATGCCACTCCTATAATACTCATAATGGTATGCTTCCTATTTACTAATTTGATATATTAAATACATTTTCAATATTTAGCTCCTTTTATTTGATCTATTGCTAAGAATAAATCCTCAGCCCTCACTATGTTGTAAGTTTTTTATATAACTTTTTATGTACTTTAAATGCACTGCATTTTCCTTTTAACTATTGTATCTTCTACTTTGTTGCGCAAGTTTAAACAGTAAAGTGATGTTTTAAAAATATATATTTAAAGGCTATATATTTATACATAATTTTGCCCTCTAAAAATGTGAAAAAAATGAAGTAATCATTTAAACAAATTAAAACGACAATCGTCAGTAATTAAAAAATTCCCCCGAGCTTTCCTTTCATTTTGCTTGATTAGACGTCCCTTCCTCAATTTATTTAGGGGGGGGGACGTCCCTTCAATAATTTATGTAGGGGGATCTTCCCCCCTCCCCCCGGAAATGTTGTAAAAGTGCAAACTAAAATGTATTGCAAATACTTACTAAAGACTGCAGCACACTTGTAGGCTCTGGAGGGCCAGAGTGTGCAGCGTTTAGACTAATACAAATTCAAAAATCTTCTCGATCACTCACTATGCTACTTCGCATAATATCCTTCAAAATGTACAAGCAAATAATGTAGAAATTCTGTATTCCTTTTTTATACTATAGTTTTGCTAAGGAATGTAATTTTTTAATACACCAACAATTTGAGGGGTAGTCACTTCCGTCATCTTCGCCCCTCTCGTTCACTATGCTCCCTCGTCCCTCGCATTTCGTCCCCCGATCATGAACAGAAATCGCCCCCACTTACTGTGTTACATTGTCTTTTCCTGTATGATTACGGGTTGTATATAGGAGGAGGTGGTGAATTCTTTGTGTCTCCGATGCTTCCATCCACGATCAAGACAGCTGGATCATCCATGGCACGAGAAAAGAGAAGTAGTCGAAATAATCGCTCTCCGCTGCTTATTATCCCTCTTACTACGCCCTAGAGCTTACCAGTAGGAACGCTCAGAGCACCGAGGGGAGTCACATATTAATCAAACGAGGAGAAGGATGAGAAGACTACCGGACTGTCATCAGCAGTAGGTTGTATCGCCAAGCCCTCATCAGGAACCCCTGGTGAAAATTTAAAATGAAGAGTTAATCCATATTAGATATAAAGGCCTACATTTTAACTAAACTTTAAACCAGACATGGCTTTCATCGATGAAAAGGCCTCCGTTATTATCCCTGATGAAAATCTGCATCGCTTAAATTAATTTATAATAAAAAAAATGGGGGTTTGAGGATATTTAGTATAAGTGGTGAGGGGCTACAGCTCCCACGCTTGCTTCTAGAATCCCTACTGATTTTCAGTGTTAAAGGGCAGATTAATCATTCCAGCCCCTGATATTATCCTATTATCTATACATGTCGATAGACTGATAACACGCAGACACTATATATATTCATTCATAGGCTTATTCTTCTACTGAGCGGAAAGAGCCCATGATGTCCTTAAAAATTCCATTTTTATCTTAGCTTGTGAACTAAATCCTACAAATATATGATTATCAACTCATGATATGCTAACAATCGGGCAAAATGCAGAAAGCCTTTGATTATTAAATCGAATTATCTCAAGTCTTAAGCTAATAATATTAATGTGGTCTTACAAGATTAAGCCCGGTGCGAACGAAGTGTAATTTTGTTCCAAACAAATCACCTATTCTTACAACAACTGTTCACTTTAATTCCCTCACACGCATGATGGTAATCTGATACAATAGTATAGCTTCGGCCTCAATTGCCCCAGGCTGTATTACGTCAAAAGTAAAGGGTTAGCTTAAGGGTTAAAGTTGGGTTTTAGGTTGGTTTTAAGTTTAGTGTTAGACTTAGGTTTATGTTGGGTCCAGGGCTGAAGTTAGGAATTCGGTGTGAGAAATTACCGCTGAATAATTATCGCAGGAGCATGCAAGTGTCGTACAACTCTCTCACACGGTGCGTCGAGGACCGCACCAGTTACTGACGCAGGCTTACGTAATCAAACGACGCCTCGTGTGTACGCATTCCAGCAATAGACCGGTTTACTAACATATAACACATGTTGTTCTTAACAACCTGGAAGCTTGTCCGAGACCTGCTCCGACAAAGCAACACGTAATGTATGCAGAGTGGATTCCATGTATTGTATTTCATTCATTAAAAACCGGTTAATGGATATCGTCACTATAGGTCCCATGGAAAGAAACATCATCCGCAATTGTGTATATGGTAGTAAACCGGTCTGTTATCATAATGATTGAAAATGTCAAAGAAAACCAATATTCATACCATTAATGCATCCATGGTCGTTCTCTGCAATATCTAGCTGGAGGTCCTGTAAGCAGGCATGGGCCTTGAGATGGCATTCACTTCTGTAATAGTCCCCGTTTGTTCCGCAGACAGTCGGCCCTGATGTCAGGCATGATGCTGGATTGATACAGCCACAGACTGTAGTGTTTGGTCCCGTGGCTTCACATCGCTGCCATGATTCACAGCTCACGTTCGCACAGGAAGACACGTGATGAACAACAGCTAATCAGGAATGTCACAAAATTAAGACAAAGTCAAAACAATTTTCCAACATTAGATTTTTACAAATTACAATAAATATTATTTTATACGTAACGGATTTAATTTTTCGGACGGTGATGACCATGAATCCCCGCCTCTTCTTGTATACAAACACTGTTAGAAGAGAAGAGTATATGGTAGTAAACCGGTCTGTTATCATAATGATTGAAAATGTCAAAGAAAACCAATATTCATACCATTAATGCATCCATGGTCGTTCTCTGCAATATCTAGCTGGAGGTCCTGTAAGCAGGCATGGGCCTTGAGATGGCATTCACTTCTGTAATAGTCCCCGTTTGTTCCGCAGACAGTCGGCCCTGATGTCAGGCATGATGCTGGATTGATACAGCCACAGACTGTAGTGTTTGGTCCCGTGGCTTCACATCGCTGCCATGATTCACAGCTCACGTTCGCACAGGAAGACACGTGATGAACAACAGCTAATCAGGAATGTCACAAAATTAAGACAAAGTCAAAACAATTTTCCAACATTAGATTTTTACAAATTACAATAACTATTATTTTATACGTAACGGATTAAATTTTTCGGACGGTGATGACCATGAATCCCCGCCTCTTCTTGTATACAAACACTGTTATGAAGAGTATCATTATAAAATATATAATGTTTCTTCTTAGGGGTAATGATATATATGTATAGAGCTTAGAAACATCGTTGATGTATCAAGCGCTATATAAAAGGAGAATATCATTATTTATTAATACTATTATCGTTTATACCCCAGTAGGCAATCGGTTAAAGAGAATCGTGTGAAATACCTTCACAAGTGGGTAAGGGATCCGACCACTTCCCACTCTCCAAGCATCGCAGGTTGTTGGTGTCACCTCGTAGAACGTAACCCCCTCTACAGTAGAAGAGCCTCTCATCTCCAATTTCCCTCCCGTAACCATAAACACCCTCCATGACTGCATGGTCTGGCCTGATAAGCTCCGGGCATCTGCTCACTATCAAGTAACAATAGAAGACGTAAACGCTAGATTCGAATAGACCGGTTTAATAATAATAATAATACATTTATAGAGCGCAGAAACTATCCAATATTAAGTATATATTCTACTGCGCTACAAGAGCTCCTGTTTTGCTTAGATTTACAATTAATTGAAAAGATGTGTTTTCATTTTTGATTTAAAGATATTTACAGATGGTGATTTCCTGAATTCAAATGGCAAGTTATTCCAGAGTTTTGGGGCTGCAAATGCATCAAATGCTCGATCACCTAGCGTTATTTTTGTTTTGATAGATGGGATCTGCAGCAACAAAGTATTTCGGGAACTGCACAAGTTGCGATTGTGTCGATTAAGTTTGAAATTCATCAGTTCTTTGATATAAGTGGGAGCTTGACCAAGAAGTGCTATACAATCAGCAAGATTTTGAATGTTATTCTCTGGCGCACTGTTAACCAATGTAGATTTCTTAAAATTGGGGTGATCCGTGTGAATTTGGAACAACCACAGATCAACCTTGCACAGGTGTTTTGAACCTGTTGCAATATCACTATTTTAGAGTCAGGGATCCCATACAGTAGACCATTACAATAGTCCAACTTATTGGTGATACATGCATGAACAATGTCTATCGTAATGTCCTTATCTAAATATATTTACGAATACGTCTGATATTAAAGATCATGTAGTATGCTGATTTACAAACATTTGTGATGTGCTCTCTCATATTCAAATTCGCATCGAACTGTACTCCGAGATTCTTTGCACTAATAGATGGTTCTATTACAGAATCTTTAATTGATACACTGTTTAAGTTGATTTTAGAGGTCTGTTTAGGTGTGCCAATGATCATTAATTCAGTTGTACCATCATCAAGCATGAGCCTATTTTGCAACATCCATCCACGTACATATCCAACACATGTTTCAAGAAGTGAGACACATCGCTCTTTAGCATGTTCATCAGGTCTGAGTGATACATTAAGCCGTGTGTCATCTGCATATCAGTGACATGATATATCGGGGAAATTCGTTTGAACATTTGAAATGAGATTAGAAGTGTACAGAGTAAATAACAAAGGACCCACCCGAGAACCTTGTGGAACTCCAAAAGGCACTGATAAATCACAAGAGATCACATCATCTATTTTGACCTTTTGATATCTATTCGCCAAGTACGACTCTATCCATTCAAGAACAGCACCTTCTATGCCAAAACAGGTCTTGGACGTTTCTGATAAGCAAGAATGATCTATGGTGTCGAATGCACTACTTATCCGTAATAAAAGTAAAAGAGTGGCTTTCTGGGAATCCATAGCCATCAGTAGATCACTTTTTATTCTTAGCAGTGCAGTTTCGATTTTTGTTTATTGTCACTTTTAAATGAAACGTTAGGTGCGCAGACATAAGGATCTCCATCATACCTCTACATACGGGTGGATCATCCGACCATTGACCCTTTTCACATGTGATTCTCCTGGATCCCACCAAGCTGTAATCATCTTCACATTCGAATGAAACCGAAGTTCCAGATGGAAAGATATCTCTAGCCTGCTGTCTGTAACCATCTAGTAACCTCCCGTGCTCTGGAGCCGCAGGGGCTTCACATTCAGCAGCTATATCACGGTCAAGAGAACGAAATCATTTACTCAATTTAAACCATATGATAAATTTTATTCTGTATCTTATTTTAAAACTCTTAGTTAATGTATTGAAATATTTCAATTTCTTAACATTTAACACGGTGTGGTATGGTTTTTTTCCTTCTAAATCATAACAAAATACAACAAAATTGAAAAGGCCGTATTTATAAAATCAAGAATATAAAGGTGAATGGCCAAATAGCTCACTCAGCCTTGTCAACATGAACATTAATACATTAAAAAAAAAGAATACAGCAATACGGTGAGGCGAAGGACTTACTTTAACTGAATAGATGGCTCTTGAGGATTGTTTCAGCCTTTAAATTAAAGGCCCCAGTAAGGTGATGTAATTAAATTTTGTTTTTTTATTTATAATTTCAGATATTTTTTATCATTACTGCATTCATTAAATTTTGACAAGAAGATGTAACTATGATAACATTTCACCATGGACACAGTCTTCATTTTATTCGAGGCTCTATTCTTCTTCATGTTAATGACATTGTCTCAAAACGAGCAGAATAACGTTTTTCCTACCCATGTTCCTACACATCTGCCTCATGTACATGTTCATGTGAGTCACAAGCATTTCTGCCGTTGTTTTCATTTTGTGTGGGTATGTGTTGGTGTGTATGTGTGTGTGTGTGTGCGTGTGTGTGTGTGTGTGTGTGTGTGTGTGTGCGGGTGTGTGTGTGTGTGTGATTGCGCACACATGTATAGATTTCATTTTAAAAAAAACTTCAGTTACTGTATAGAAATATGTCTTTTATTTTTTTTTTACTTGCTCTTATTATTGGATGTTATTATTATCATTATTGCATGTTATTATGTATTAACTAATTGACTAAAACATCGGTGCTTGAAATTAAACTTACCGTTTTTCAATTTATATATAATATTTTTTTACAATTCAGATATTAAAGTGGAATATAATTTATCTTGAATGGAATCAGATAAAGATCGCGGGAAACAAAAAAAATCATTTTGAAAGGTTAGTGTACCTTTAAACAGCACATGTACGCTGTGAAATGATGACGACCCATTGCATGTATAAATGCCAGAGAAATCAGTAGAAATCGGACTCAGCTTTTTGGTATGAGTGTACAACCTTTGAAAATGCTGAAAGATAATAGAGAGAGATGACCAACTTACATTTTTTCAAAACATTCCGAAATATGCACAAGTCTCACGAATTAAAGCGCCGAATCGACCATCACGAATGGTTAGAATGTATTACCTTTTTCTTTTTATTCCCTCTCTGTTTAAACTTTGCTATATGCAATAGACCGACAGCCCACAAGACCGAGAATGTAGGTCTTGTATGATGTCGGTCAAGCTGTCTGTAGCCTTTGTATACTTTCCTGAATTCATTTATGGTGGTGTTTCGTTGTCTCATTTTCATTCCCAATGTTAACAATGTTGCTAACCCTCAAAGCGCTAGAATTTACCGGTAAGTCTCCGTCATTCACGAGAGGAGTTGTCAGTCGAGGAGGTCTCAACCATACACTTGTGAGTCTGCAGAGTACATTAAGATGCCTGGGACTTCCACGATACACGTAAACAACGACTGTCCCATTACTGGCTACCTCAGGCGACGAGCCGTAGAATAATAATTGTGTTGCAACAGGTCCTATGTAGAAACAAAATTGAAACATTGATTATAAATTGATTAACCAATCAATTCTCATTCACTTGCAACATAAATGCGTATAGGCTTACAGATAATTATTGTCTGCACCATCGAATAAACGGAAGCTGCACAGTACATGATACCCACTGAAGAGGAAAAGAAACAGCGCCATCTTATCATCAGTGATGAACAACTAAAAAAAAACGGCACAGCCAGGCAGAAATAATCTTTTTAGATTGGTCAGCCTAATAACCTAACAACAACAAAAACAACAACCGCCACAACAACCGCCACAACACCGTGCCCCAAGACTCAGGACTATACATCAACGACATCTGGAAACCTCTCATCAACAAGTACCCGGTCACTCCTCCTCCAGCACCGCCTCCAGCACCGCCTCCAGCACCGCCCTCACCACCACCCCGACAGACACCCGTACATCAACCACCGTACATCAACCACCGAACCCTCAAAGCAGCCGCCAGTCTCACAGCTACAATGCACAGCAGACGACAACAGACTACAACGCCGCCTACGTCGGGGACACACACAGCGTCTCGCCGACAGCACTTCCCACTCATCGACTCGAAACTCTCCTAAGTCCGCAACCCGGAGCCTCCAGCCCAGGCGGTCAGTCAGACGAATTACCAGACGACCATCCATGCCCACTCCCCGATGACTCAAGCCGACACGGTCTACTATTTTTCCCTGACGTCCACACCCCGGTGACTTATACCCCCTTCACATACACGGATTTTCCTTACGAGTCCTTACGGATCGCCAACTCGTAGTCAATCGCAAGCATCCGTAAATAACTCGCTGGTATCCGTAAATAGCTCGTCACAACTCGCAACAAAGTATCCGTGAAAGGAGAGCCAAATTTTTTGACATGTCAAAAATCTTCTTACGATTGTCCACGGATTTATTTGTCCGTAAATAACTCGTAAATAGGTCGTAACAATCCGTAAGTATCGTAAACCGCTCGCATGAACACGTTACCATCCGTAAACTGCTCGCAAGAATCCGTAAATGACTCGTAAAGATTTCTTTAACGATTCGTTTCGGTTGGTTTACGATTTGTTTACGGATTATTTACGAGTGCTTACGTGTTGTTTACGATTTCATTGAAGTCGTGTTACAATGGCTTTACGGATTGTTACGAGTTATTGCGAGCACTTTACGTGTAGTTACGAGTACTTTACAAATAGATACGTATACTTTAAGTATTCTTACGTATCGTTTACGTTTTTGGGGAAAGGTATAAAAGCTGCAAATTTGAACACTTCATTTTCAGTTGTTATTTTTTGGTTAAAAATCGTAAGGACTCGTAAATACTCGTAACTCTCTCGTAACGATTCGTAACAACACGTTAACAGGTCGTTAGTAACACGTAAGTTGCTCGTAGTTATCCGTGACAACTCGTGAAATTCTGCCGTAAGTATACCGTAATAACTCGTAATAATCCGTAACAAACCGTGAATAGCTCGTAATAACTCGTAACAACTCTTAAATCGGTCGTAAAAGTGGCCAAATCGTAAGGATCCGTGAAAGATCCGTGAATTTGTGCGATCCGTAAGGATTCGTAAGAAAATCCGTGTATGTGAAGGGGGTATTAAGCTCACGCACGCCAGCTATTCTCCACTCCTGACGACGGATAGTCAACCTGTTCGAAACGTCGAGCCACTCATCCTCTCCAAGCGCTATAGTTCTCCTGAGAACTATATGCTAAGAAAGATAACAAACAGTCCTTTTCAGGACTACACTCCTCCAAGAAAGATTACCGAGTCAGAGTCCTTTTCAGGACTCCTCAAACCTCTCTCTCTCTCTCTCACATGGTGCAACCGCAAACATACTGTATATCTACATCACCATGCAAGCCGACACTTACAAGCAGCATCTAAAAACAACAAGGTAAAGGAAACAGTAATCAAAATGTTCCAGAATTCAGTTAAATCCGGCCCTAGATCCACATAAAAGGGAAAGTCTAGCCTCAATTGTTGGACCTGGGCCCCATCTTATAAAGAGTTGGCATTGGTTTAGATCAATCGCAAGTCTGCTGCCTCATATCATATCTCTATAGCTGAATCTCAGAATCAGGTTTAAGGGTTAGTAGAATACGGGCCTTGGAGTTGGAACCAGTTGATTCTGGATGCCCATTTCTTCCTCTATCTCACTCCTTCCCTTTCCTCCTCCTCCCCCTTCTCTCTCTTTCTCATTCTCTCTCTTTTCCACACATACTCATTCACTCAGTCTCTTTATCTCTCTCTCCCTACCTCACTCAGCTTTGATACTCACGGCATTCTGGTTCTTCCCCGGTCCACTGTCCTTCTTCACAAGTTCGTCTTTGATCACCAATCAGTCTATACTTTCCAGGGTCTCTACATCTAGCAACTAGCTTGGTGCCATGGGGTAAGGTGGAAGGGGTATAGTAGCTAGTTATTGGCCTCGTCGCATCTCCATTCACAAACTGGCGAACCTCTCCTATATTGATCGGCACCGAACAAGGCCGTTTCTCTGGAGCAAAACGTCACAGAATAAACACGATATTAATAGTCGAAGGGCATGAACATTTTGCTTTAAAGTCTTTTTCTTCCCCCTCCCCTATTTGTTTTGGGTAAAGTTGCGTATGGCAAAAGGACATTGTCAGAGGGATGGTTTGCTTTGCTGAAATGTAGTATATAAACCAAAGAAACGAAGAGGCGATTTTTGTTCTATCCTTTTATCCATTCCTTATTATTTTTCTCAAAATCTTCGGTTGAAATGCTTTAATAGTAATACTCACGGCGGCATTGTGGTTCTTCCCCGGTCCACTGTCCTCCTTGACAAGTTCGTCTTTGATCACCGACCAATCTATGCTTTCCGGGGTCTCTACATCTAGCAACTAGCTGGGTGCCATCAGGTAAGGTGGAAGGGGTATAGTAGCTAGTTGTTGGTCTCGTCGCATCTCCATTTACAAACTGGCGAACCTCTCCTATATTGATCGGTACCGAACAAGGCGGTTTCTCTGGAGCAAAACGCCACAAAATACCCAAAATATTAAGATTAGTCGAAGGGCCATAAACTTTTGCTCTAAATTATTATTCTTTCTTTTTGTTATTGTTAGAAGTTTAAGGAATGCAAGTAAATGTTATTGTTTGCAATATTTTATGAAAGATATACTCGCAGTTCAGCTGAGGGGATATTTTGTTATCCTTGTTTTGGGTGAAAATGTTTCAAAATTCATACCCTTAGAGCCGAGAATTAGAAATAATAGGTGAGATAACTTTGTAAAATATCCTTTTCATGAATCAATAAGATTTGGCTGAAAACATTAATTAAATTCACTCTAATTTTACTTTGAAATGCTCTCCAAATCTAAGAAAAATATCCTATAACACCCGATTAAGCCTCGCCCTATCCTGCACCCCTCCATACTCCGTCTACTAAAAATGCAATATCAGTCATGGAATGCTAATAATAATAATAATTGAAAAATTGTTTACCACATCGAGGCCAGGGAGGGATCCATGTTCCATTAGAGCATTGTGACGTCACAGATTGTTGTGCGATAGCACCCACATTGCAGCTTACTGAGACTTGTACCCTAGACCCACTAGGAACACCCTCCAACCAGATGTTACCGCCACCGCCTCTGACCGTGTAGCGCCCGGAACGATCACTTTCAGACATGCATGGCGATGAGCCAACTAGGAAGGATATAAAATATACACATTCATAAACAAACTTATCTCCTTCATAGAAAATATAGGGCTATGTATGTCGAGGAAGTTCCGCTTACCAGTGTCGATGGCATGGCGTTATTAGATTTCATATCATGTAGTATGGTTTTTGGGGCTTCACACACGTACACACAGCGCCTTGCCTATATCCGCATGCATGGTGTGCGTGCATAGGCATAGGCTTGCAAATGTTTCATTTCTGCTCTAGCATCTCTACCTTTAGCAAATTGATTACAGTTCTACAAATATCAGCTTATCAAATTGCTGTGAAAAACTGTTACTCAGCACTAAGTTACAATTACTCTAGCAATCAAGGATAGACCTTTCTCGTCATCAAAGCCACTATATATTATATGGACTCATTTCTAAAGATTTTACGGTTGAGAATTTAATATAGATCTAATATACACCTCTTAATGGCTCTAATATAATATCAGCTTATGACATTGCCGTGTAAAGTTATTACTTAGCGCTAGATCTAAATTTAAATTATTCTAGCAATCAATGATAGGCCTTATCGTCATCGAAGCTACTATATATAGGGACTAATTTCTTAAGATTTTATGGTTGAGAAATTTATTATAGATCTGCACCTCTAAAAGGCTCTAATAATATCAGCTTAAGAAATTGCTGTGATGTTCTCAGGTGAGAATTCCTGCAATAAAAGAAGTAACAAATGAAGCTGATATTATTAGAGCCTTTTAGAGGTGTATACAGTGTGAGTCAAACAAAGTTTACACCTAGAAAATTGCTAATTATTTTATTAATCATCTATGAACAGTAAATTATTATACATCTTATGAAAGAGTGTTTTATCCCGAATAATTTAGTATCATTTTTGTGTGGTATAATGTTCACGCTTGGATTAACAGGAGGCATTGTTTGCGAGAATGCAAACATCGACTTGCGCCAAAGTTGATTATGTGATGTTTGAATAAAACAATTTGGATTTGGGGTATTAATTTGGTCGTTGCAGATCCAAATAACATCCCTGACAAAGTTAATCATGCCACACGTTTCAAATATCGAATATCAAATATCAACGAACACGTGTGCGCACGCGCGCGCGCGCGCGCGTGTATGTTTGTGTGTGTGTGTGTGTGTGTGTGTGACTTTGCTTATGAGAAAAGCATATGCAATGCATCTCATTTGATACATTCAATTCATTCTCTCACTTTAATCCCAACATATACTGTAAACTATCTATCACTTTGGCGCAAGGTGATTTGTGCGCTCGCGCAAACAATGCCTCCTGTTCATCCAAGCGTGAACACATACCACATAAAAATGATTCCGAATGAATTGGGATAACATGCTCTTTCATAAGATGTATAATAATTTCCTGTTTATAGATGATTTCTTTTTTTTAAAGCAATTTTCTAGGTGTAAACTGTTTTTTTTTACTCACTCGGTATAGTCTAGATCTATAATAAATTCTCAACCGTAAAATCTTTAGAAATAAGTCCCTATAATATAAAGTGGCTTCGATGACGAGAAAGGCCTGTCCTTGATTGCTAGAGGAATTTTAACTTAGGGCTAAGTAACAGTTTTTCACAGCAATTTGATAAGCTGATATTTGTAGAACTGTAATCAATTTGCTAAAGGTTGAGATGCTAGAGCAGAAATGAAACATTTGCAAGCCTAGGCCTATGCACACAAACCATGCATGCTGATATAGGCAAGGCGCTGTGTGTACGTGTGTGAAGCCCAGAGCTTTGCACCGTTTCGAATTTTCGCATCTTTAGCACGCCTAAAGCTTGTTATTGACAAGATGAGCTTTGATTGGCTTATGCAATTAAGTTCATACTGGGGTCCGGAGCTCAAGTGGTAACAAAATTACCACCCCCCCCCCGCACCTCCCCTGCCATGCTACACACACACACACACACCACCCGACCACACTTCCACCACACACTGTTCCTAGCCTCCTCAGAATAACCCAAATTGGAGCGACAGACAAACAAAAACAATCTGTTTAAAACATTTTTTTAAAATCATTTAAACGAGGCTACAATAGCCACAATAGCCCAGTGTTAAACGTTCATAAAAAACTTCACTTGTTCCCACTTCTGTAAATGTAAGGCCAATTTACCTGCCCTCCCTGCAATATTCTTTTCTTCTTCCCTAAATTCCAACTTACATTTTTTTTTTTAAACTCCCCCAAAGACAATATTACGGACTTTCCCCTGCATCTATATATCCAAGATTTCATTTAAAAAATAATTGTATTAAAAATCTTTATTCGTGGATAATTACCGGACAACCCTAAATGAATATTTATCCAGTCGATAGACCTTAATTCCCTTGGCTCAAACTTAGCTATTACATGTTGCCATAATCTTTGAACATGTACACACTACCAGAACAAGTGTAAATATGTTTCTATCCTTTGCTTACAAAATGAGCACAAGTCATCTACAACAAAGCCGAATCTGCATAAATGTTCTCTAGTACATATTGCTCCATGAAGCAGTTTATACTGAATTTTTCTTAGTCTGTTAACAAGAGTAACTTTCCTAGGCCTACTAAACATATCTCTACATACCTCATTTGAAAAATCTGAAAATTCCCGTCTATCATGAATCTTCAAGACAAATACATTTTGTAACTTCTCTATCAAATATTCATAAACCTTCCTCGATAATACATCTCTGAGAAGCTTTACAGTACTGTTAACCTGCATCAACATATCATACTCTTTTACATCCACTAAACTCCAGTTATCCTTTTTCCGCTTCTCAAAATAGCTTACCCAATAGTCCATGCATCAACATTTTTGTTTTCTTTTAACCCCAAATGTTGAAAATGAGATATTGCCCGCATGTCATTTTTAGCAAAAATATCTTAAATTGTAATTATAATGCGTGTAAACAACTCCTCATCAAAAATCATTTTCTTTTTCAATAGGAAATCTTTATTGTTAACAATAATTGGATTATTCTTTTCTTCAAAATTCCTACAACCTTCTAACTTTTCCCATGCTTTGATCATTTTTAAAGACACATATAAACACGCACCCACACACACACACACACAGATGCACAGCATATACTTCAGAGTACCTCAGAATACCCCCAAATTGGAGCGACAGACAAACAGAAACAATCTAATGCTAAATATATTACTCATTGCGGATATAGTATCGAAAATAATATCGCTAGTGATATACGTTTGTCTCGCAATGTGGTCAATAAGGAATCTAAAAGATCACGACGTTTCGTATGCTACTGCGATACTTCGTCAGGTGATAAAAACTACTGTAAGCAAGGGTCTTTTATACTCTACGGGAGGACCGGCGGAGCGGTCCATAATTCGATCGTTGGAAAATGCAATCAATGGTTTTATCAAAATATCCTTTTTCTTTCATTAAACTAGGAACTAAATAAAGCGAATTATAGCGTGTACTTGTGACAGGGAGAGAGAGAGAGAGAGAGCGAGAGCGAGCGAGAGTGAATGTGCCATCGGTGGATGTAATTAGTGTATAAATTATACAGTGTTCCGCGAAGCATTGAATGTGTTGTCACGGTTTACTGTTTGAAAAGGTTGAGACTACCATTGAAAGGAAAGTGGAATGGCATTACACCTGTTATAGACAGGAAGTGTTTTTTTGTAGTTTTGACTGTATATAATGTACTGGAGTAACACTGGCTAGGGCCACACCCAAAGAAGCTGGCTTGGTGTACGGAGGTCTTGTTGTACGTAGCAGCTTGCTTCAAAGCATTATAGTTAGCTGCTTGTACACACATTGTAGAAGACAAGTTGAGAAAGATGTGGCTTCTGGCTTTATAAGTTTTGCTACATGAGAATTTGCAGCTTTAAGTAGAACCGATACTTTCCATCGGTAAGTGAAATCATGATACTGTATTATTGTACTACATTGATGATTGTATTATCTTGTACTTTAATGAAGGGTGATTTTATTCAAATGACAAATTGAAGTACGAGAAAGGTATAACATGTTGTTTCACCTTTTGTTATCAATTATATTTTGGGCAAAGAAATTAATGATTAAGAAGAGGAAAATATTTACAATTTGTATTGATGCATGTTTCACATATAAGAAGAATCTATAGTAGAGAAATGTTTGTGCCTGAACTCTTTACATTTTAGATGGCACAGGGGCTTGGGAGACAAGCTGATATTTCTACGGCTACGAGAGTTGATGCGAGACGGGACATCCGGACACGTGACCGACCGATCACCAAAAACATGGCGTCTTCAGTAGAGAACGCGATATGAACATTATGGTGAGCGATAATGGTGCCGAGAATGTTGACGAGACTATTATGGAACTTGAGATAAACAGTTCGATGAACTTGAAAGTCACATCTGAAAAGATGTCAAAGGCTTAGCAGAGCCATATGGACTATTTCGTGTTTGAGTGTGTATTGTTGATGCATGCTTTGTATAAAGACGACTTTGAAAGATGTAATCAAGGGTGAAGTTAGCTGGACAATACAGGTCTGGAGTTAACCGTTCACGTGACAAGAAGTTAGTTGATTATTGTGAGAAGAGAACATGATATTTTTGAAGGTATAATTTGTTAAAGTTGATAACTAAATAAACGACAATATACTGGTCTGTTTATTGATGTTAAGGTAAAGTTTCTCAAGAACGAGATGTGTATGAGTGAATTGATTAAGTTACAGATGTGCTATATATTTAAGACAATTCAGGTCTGTTTATATAGAACATTATTGTTGTAGACTTCATGTATAACAAATTATAGAAAGATTTGATACATGTTACAAAGGTGTTGATCATATATTTGATTGACAAGGTTGATTTTATTTTGCTGGGACAGAGTGTTTTTGGAAAGATATTGTAAGAGGATATTTATTTCGTTCGTACCATTCTCTTTTTGTCGGAGAATGGTACTATTCTTTGCTTTATAATAAAGCTGGATATTAATTACGAGTATCGTAAATGGCATGTGTTTAGTTTTCTTTATTTTGAGTGTACCATGTGACAAAGGAATCTAAAAGATCACGACGTTTCGTATGCTACTGCGATACTTCGTCAGGTGATAAAAACTACTGTAAGCAAGGGTCTTTTATACTCTACGGGAGGACCGGCGGAGCGGTCCATAATTCGATCGATAATTGGAACAATAACGCACAATGCCTATTGGTCGACGCACACGGTGATCGACCAATCACCAGGCCGCTGGATTCGGCTGCTGGTTCGGCTAATGCACCAGGCCTATTGGCCGACGCATACGGTACTCAACCAATCAACGGGCCGCTGGATCGGACCGTCTGCTGAATGGAATCGACCGGTGTTGGCTGGCAGGACGGCGAGTGTCATGGCGGCGTATCGTCCGCATCCAAAATTCGGGGATATCGATCCCGTTGTCTCTGTTGAAATTATTAGGATTGAGACGGATATTGATAGCTTCTTTCACCCTCCGTGTATACCAATGCCGTTCCTGGGAAAGGCACTGAACCCCGTCCCAGTCTGGTTGATGCTGGTTATCCCAAGCATGTTCGGCTACGGCTGAGTTGTCAGTTCGACGGAGTCTGACGTCCCTCTTATGCTCAGTGATTCTTTCTTTTATCGGACGGGCAGTTCTACACATTTTTACATAATATCAGTGAAGGGATGTTCCTTTGTCTACCACAGCAATTGTTGAGGGCAGAATGAGGAACTGTATTATTTTGTCCTCTTTCTTTGTCCGTCATGTTCATAGTGCCTCCCATTAGAGTTTATTTCTCTTATATTTCTCTGGTCTCTTGTCTCGCTCTTTGTCTCCTTTTCATTTTTTCATTTCCTTCCTTATCTCCTTTGCTCTTTTTTCTTCGTCTATCCTTTCAATACCCAATATTTCTTCTCATCCTTCTCTTCTGACTATTTCTCTTCTTCCCTCTGTCCATCATAACAGCTCCTGCTCCCTGTTGCCCTATCAGTTCTTTCATTTTCCCAAGAGCCTTATCACAAAGTTTTCCTCAGTATTTTGAAAAAAACATGATTAAACAATAATCATTTGATAATTTCATGTATTTTGTTGTTTCCCTTGTCAGTGTTTATTTAGTAAGGACAGAGGCGGCGGACCCGGGGGGGGGGGGGCAGGGGGGGGGGGGCATTGTGCCCACTTTTTCAAGTACCCACAAAGTGCCCCCTTTTCCATAGGAAAAGTGCCCCTTTAACTTTGTAAGAAGCGCCCCTATTCCTTTAATATGTGCCCCTTTTAATTGTTTAAAGTGCCCCCTCCCCTTTCCACCTCTGATATGTGCCCCTTTTGTTTTGACACGTACCTCTTTTCCCTGACAAGTTCCCAGTTTCCTTTGCAATAAGTGTCTATTTTCCATTCTCATAAGTGCCCTTTTTAATCTCTAGTAGGTGCCCCTTTTCGGGTACGAGAAGCGCCCCTTTTCACTTTTGTTAAGCGCCTCCTTCACCTCTGATAATTGCCCTATTCAAATCTTAGAGGTGCCCCTTTTACTTTGACAATTGCCCTTTTTCCTTTGTAAGAAGTGCCCCTTTCCCTTTTAATAACTACCTCTTTTTAACTCGGATAAGCACACCTTATATTTTCACATGTGCCCCCTTTCCTTTCTAATAAGTGCCCCTTTTCCTTATGATAAGTGCCCCCATTTAACAAATAGCCCTTCGCCTTTTCATCAATGCCCCTTTTCACCTATGAAAATAGTCCTTTTTCATTCTCCTACTAGTGCGCCTTTTCATGTCTGGTAAATGGCCCTATTCAATTCTGAGAGATACTCGTTTTATTTTGACAAGTGCCCCCTTTTCCTCCTGATAAGTGCTCTTTTCATCTCTAATAACACCCCTTTCATTTTGGCACGTGCCCCTTTTCCTTCCTAATAAATGCTCCTTTTCCTTCATAATATTCGCTTTTCATAAAAGCCCCCTTTCACCTCCAATAAATGCCCCTATCAAAATCTGATCGGTGCTCCTTTTCTTTCAACAAATGCACATTTTCCTTCATTATTAGTGCCCCTTTTTTCATTCTCATAAGTGCCTCTTTCATATATGGTGTGTGCCCCTTTTCAGATGCGGTAAGTGCCCCTTTTCACCTCTGATAAAGTTAACCTTTTTAACAATGATACGTGGCCCTTTTTCTTTCTTATGAGGAACCTATCCCTTTTTCAGAAATGCCCGTATCAAAATCTGATGGTTGCCTCTTTTCCGTCGACAAATGCCCAATTTCCATTCTCACAAGTGCTATTTCATCCCTAGTGAGTGCCCCATTTTCACCTCTGATAATAACCCTTTGTACTGTGACACGTGCTCCTTTTATTTTCTAACTTTGATGTGTCACATTCAAAGAAACATACCTTGGGACAAATCAATTGTACACGTACTTCACAAAATGACAACATTTGGTAATGGTTACAATTAAGCAGATTTGTGAATTTTGAACGGAGAGGAAGTATGAATTGATGATATAATTCACATACACTGTCGCTCATATAATTTATGGAATTATTTTGACAATGATTTATTCCTAACAGAACTAGATGATAGTATACATTCTCAGATTTTATTGAATGATAATTTGCCAGTGTTTCCTTTGCGTGAATGCTAAAGCATGTGTATGCTACTATGCGTATAAACTAGGGGACCTACGCCCTTAAGTCATAAATGACAGTAATGAGGATTAATGCCCCATAAAAGGGCACTAATATGGCACATCGACACGGTTTTGATCCTGGGGCCTCACAGTTACGAGGCCATTGCTTGACCACTGAACCATGTCTGTGCGCACTTGGGCTAGGGTTAGGGGGCAGTTCCCACAAATAAAAATAAAAAACGAAAATTCAATAAATTTTCAATAATTCATTGAATTTCCCCCCGGTCCCCAACAGAAAAAAAAAATCTTCTGTGTGCCCATATATATAAGTGTATATAATCGACTATATTGATTTTGTTTGAAAGATAATATTCTTATTGATTTATAATATGGATGAAGAAAACATCATTCTACTTCTTACGCTTTGTTGAATTACAAGATAAAGTTCTTTCTGCAACTAATAATAAACATTTGATATAGGGGTATTTATGAACCTGTCAAAGGCTTTTGACATAGTTGATCACGAAATATTATTATCAAACTTACAATATTATGGAATTAGAGGAGTGCCTAGCTTGCAATGGTTTAAAATTAACCTAACAATAGGGTCCAATAGCTACTAATCGTTTTATATTGTATTACTCACAACGTACCCCAAGAGTGAATCCTGGTTTCCTATTATTTTTGCTATATATAAATTGCATAAAGCTTCTGATAAATTTGAATATATGATGTATGCAGGTGATACTACAGACGCATCCAAATATTGTTGAATTAGAAAGTAATATCAATGATGAATTGGAAAATATATGTGTAAGGTTTAAATCAAAGATACTGTTGATAAACCTAATTAGTAGCACAAATTAGGTGACATTCCATAATAAGACTTGTAAAATAGCCAATATACTAAAGTGGTATCATTCTCAAAATTGATGATATTCCTTTACTTAAGACTAATACCGTTTATTTTATCTTGGTGTACTTATAAGTAGTAATAATCTTTTGTCATGTATGAAATTTGCAATGATTTGCTTGTTATATATTTGTGAAAATGCAAAAGAAAAAGAAAATCAAACAGAATTAAATTAATCAAATCAAATCATATCAAATATGTACTGGGAAGTTTCTAAATGTATCGGTATACTCTATAGATTGAAAGATACGATTCCTGCATTCTCTTATATAATGCATTTATGATGTCACTTTTCAATTATTGTATTGTTGTATGAGGTAATAGTATCAAACAAAATTGGATAAATTATTCAAACTACAAAATAAAGCCCTTAGGATATGCTTAGGCTGTCATTATCGTACTCACTCTGCCCCATTGTTTATGAAATTGAAAACACTGAATATCATTGATTTGTCTTTTTTATTCGATTGCACTGCTTGGATTTAATTTCCAAATAAATATTTATAGAAGGTTTACTTTGAATAACGATGTTCATAATTATTATACTCGTGGGCGAGACTCGTTTCATTTTTGGCCAGTAAAGACAAATATATTTTTTTTAATCCGTAAGAAACAATTTCCCTGGCATTTAGAACTCTCTTTCTCCTGAAATATCCTCATGCAAGTCTTTAACATTATTAAAAAGAAGCTTGAAGCAGCATCTTATATCTAAATATCAATGATTCTTGTACCAATAATTACATTATTCAACGTTACCTAATTTTTTTTCTTCAAATGTATGATGTTGTAATGATTACTTCCACTTGTGTTACCTGCCATAAACGATGCCCCTGTCATGTTTTGTCATGCATGTGTCTTTGTTTAGTTTTTTTTGTATATGTAAACTCTTAACTACCGTTCGGGGGACTATGCCTCCACAAGTCCATTTGACCTTTTATTTCTAGTTCCCTATTTTAATTTTCTTATATGATGCAAATGCTTATTATTGTATATATCTTTGTATCGGTTTTTATTGAAAATGGAAATGAATAAAAGTGAATCGAACTGAATTAAATTGAATACTTAGAATCCAGTCTGCCTACAAAAATTGTTGCTATGTCGGGCAAGTCTCCGGTTATCTTTTAGGTTTACAAGAACAACCTTTGTTTAATATGTTAGGAAACCGGACTATGGCCCATGGCCACAAGCACACAATGTACGCACCATCTCCACTCGTACTCATGATCGAGCGTACGTTGACTGTACCGTACCCCGCGGGACGCCTTTTTTTATTTTCGAGAGAGAGAGAACGATGAGGCGGGGGGGGGGGGGGGTCGCAGTATGGTGCACACACACCTGCGCGGAAGCAAGGTGTATACAATTATCGAAGTTCTGTGGGTCGAGGATCGAACCCTCGACCATATCCATTCAAGCGTTTTAACCACTCGATCGGATGCATCCGGACGCATCCGATGAAACGGCCAGTATGAATGCTACAGAGGAGAAAAAGGCGATTAAATAGCCGATGAAAAGAAGAGAAATAGGCGAATTAAATTCTCGTTCTATCGGTGTGACACCGATGAAACAGCCACTGTGAAAGCGTTCAGGAGAAAACAGCGATTAACACAGCGATTAAAATGGTCAAAGGTCGCAGTGTACCAGATCGGGATTACAAGATGGAACGGTTCAATTCCTAGCATCTGCAGAGGATAGATCATTAAAAGTGTTGATAAACGATGTTAAAAATATCACAATCATGCAAATATGATTCCTTTTCTTAGCCATTAATGCATTCTAATACTTGAACTTCACAACGGATTAACCAATAATGCATTCTTCATTGTCATACACTCTTTACACTCATGATTATTGAGCAATATCGTGTAGGTCATACGTTTGTGTCTAGGCTACTTTTTAGTCAACGACCACTTATTACTGATATTACCATTTCCCACAAAATTACGCCAGAAGATATAACCATACGCGTGTTTTGCCGTGTTTTGTCGAGTAATATTTCAAAATTATAGTTCCACCCATAGCTGGGAGAAGAGAGACAATTGTATGTGATCGGTCAGTGCTTTCATGGAGTCTCAAAATAGTGCCGTCCCATAGAGATTGTAGGTGAGAGGGAACTATAAGCCAGTTCGTAGATGCAATCTACGCATAGGCAGATAACGGTCATTTGTACTAACATTTTAAAAACCCATCGAGACAAATACTGGATTCGTGCTCATGAATTTTATGAAAATCATTATTCATTTATTCACCGACAGCACGTTCTCTGATACACGGCCGGGTGGGAGTATTCTTCTCAAGAGGTCAAACAAACGGCAATCATGAAGCACCTCCATTACTTCGGCAGTGAGTATTCCGAAATACACACAGCGGAACGCATATTTTTTATTTTTCCAATAGCCTGTGATTGTACGGCTTTAATTTTAATAAACCCACTCTCGAAGAGTCTAGCTAGCTACGAAAGCTTGGAAAGAGGTCACAAACAATTAGACTTTGATTATTTATTGATTTGCCTCCCTATTTATGAAGGCAAACAATAAACTGTATAAATACTGAGATTCGAACACACAACTCCAACGTTGTATTACGCTGTCCTTACCGATTGAGCTGATGCAGTGGCGGATCCAGCCGGCGGGAAGAGGGGGGGGGGGGGGGCCCAATCCCTGAGAAAATATTAGTTGCGACTCAGCCACCGGTGAATAAGCGGGGGGGGGGGGGGTAGGAGGCACTTTTTTTTTGGTCCAATTTTTCAGGAAATATTTTGCGCCAACTCAGTCTTTTTTTTTTTTTTTTTGTGGTTGACCCGTCAGCCCCCCCCCGTGGATCCGCGCCTGCAGAGGATCCAGGGGGGGGGGTAGCCAAATCTTAATACAAAATTTAGTGCCGACTCAGCCGGCCGGCGAATAAGCGGGGGGGGGGGCGCTTTTGTTTTTGTTTTATAAAGGTAAACTTTACGTTATTATCCTATTTTTTATCGTTTTGGGGGGCTAGGGGGGGGGGGGGGTCAGGCCGGAATAATCGCTACGTGGATCCGCCCCTGAGCTGATGAAAGGTGGGCTTGCATTATTATTTTAACCCTATCACCAACCTAAACGGTTACCATGTGCGCACAATTCAAGCTGTAAGAATCACATGCCGCTGTGTAAATAAAAATTACGCCAGCGGGACGTCTCCATGTGTAAAAGATCTGTGGATATTTGGGGGTCATTTGTAACAAAGCTAACGTACTATAACCTGTTTATTCGTAGCTTAATGATTTTACCTATGACCGCGCACGTGTGAAACAATTATCTGTATTTATTTGCTATGGTTCCACTAAGCCACTTACGTATTTGGAAGTTTGCCCTGATGACTTGCTCTCCCTCCTCATCATTGACCCTGGCCTCGCACGAGTATACTCCAAAGAAACGATCCTCTACGGCGTCAAAGTGAAAGACTAGTCCAGTAGGTAGGATGCGCACTCCTTCCACAAGTTGTCTCACTTTGAATAACAAGAGAGTAATTAAAAGGATTTTACTAGTATTAAAGTCAAATTGGAACAACAAATATTTAGATACAACATTAAACATTACAAGGGTCAAGGGGGACAGTATTATGGTTCAATTAATTTCACGTTACTATAAAAGGCGTCATAATTTTTGCATCAAACTTTAAAGACAAAGTTGAGTACCTGTCATGCAATAACATCCTAGAAGTTATTCTGGAGGATTAATAATGTTGTCAAAAGGAACAATTCTGCGGCAAGAATTTTAGAATCATCAAATTATGACAGATTGACTAAAATCACAAACATTTAAAATCAACGGCCACTAACTGAGACTACACATTAAGAAGCTTCAGACTCTGATCCAAAATGAGCACCTATTTATTTCTTCAGAATCTATCTGTTTTAGGTAATCCGCCGCGGAGCGAAACAGAGCACCTATTGATTTTGTCAGAATCTATCTTTTCAGGTGATCTGCCGCGTAGCGGGACAAAGCACCAATATATTTCGTCAGAATATTTCTTTTTAGGTGATCTGCCGTCTAGCGTAGCAATGCACCTTTTGATTTCATCAGGATCTTTCTTTTTTTGTTCTTCCTTTTTTCCCCTTTTTTCCGTATGGAAATTGTTTGGTTTATATCTTATGAATGACATGGTTTAATGACGATGAAATTGTCATGACATGTGCCATATGCATGATCATTGAACCTAGTGAAAATATTTTTGATTCATGTTAATGATGCGTGGCGTCATCTAGGCGCCATTTTGTAAAAGGCCACTGAAGGAAAACAATTAAATTTGATTCGATTAGGTAATATTTGGCATTGTTGTTTTGAATATATCTCGTCTATCTCTATTCTGATGTCTCCCATATTTTGTTATGTTGTAGCTGAGACTTCACTCTACAAATAAACCTAATTAATTAACAAATGATTTAATATTTGATCAGAAGATGGGATCGTGGTCAAAATTCCGATTTAAGGTGCCATTATGGTTTTTACTTGTACGTGTTATATGAATGGAGGGTGTGATTTTTTTTTCAAAGTCCTAATTTTTCATTGACTATGTGTTATTTGATGTCAGATCAGCTGCATAGTGTATCAAATCTCACAATGAGCTTGTAAATAGGCGTGTTATATGCGTGGAGGGTATTTTTTTTTTTAAAGACCAAATCACCCATTAAGTGTCTTCATGTGATATGTCTTGATCAAAGCGGCAGATCACCTAGTTCGTCTCCGTGACGATTTCAATGTCTAGTTGTGAATTATTTCTTGTCCTTTTCGATGCATGAATACACTTCAAATCCAATCTCTGTATCATGGGACATTGCTTCCTAGGGATAAAACAATGAGAAATGCTCCAAAACGCCTTTCCCACTTTTACAAGACGTTTCCTTAAAGAGAAGGTTGAGTTCTGGGAAGAGGTAAACAATTATTTGTGAGCGTTATCATTGTTATTATGCAAGGGAGGAAGAACATCAGATTAAACATGTTCCCTGAAAAGCATGGCTCTTCAAATGCCTTCATATTCTAAATATGACATGAAACATCGTAAAAATCGGGGGGTAGGTTTTTTTCGCCATGTGCTCGTGTAGTCCAATATACATCATTCTGTGTACAGTGCTTGTAACTTTGCCAAGATTTGGCCAAATTTCTTATCATTTTGATGATTCCAGAACCTTGCAATACACACGAATACTTATATACTAGATGATCAACCTTTTCTGACAGATTCCACACCGTTCCTTTCACAATGCAATCACATGACCAGAACTCAACTTTATCTTTAAAGAAACAAAACAAAACATAACATTGCTCTAAGAATAAAACAGAATGATTAATCTGTTGAAGGAGTATGTCACATGCAACGGCGTCAATTTCTCCTGAATAAATTTTGGCATACTAGACAATTTTTTTACTTTACATCTAATAATGCTATAACCAAAACGAATTTACACTGACTCCAAACCGACCACTTTTTGACTAATTGGGGGTAATTTAATTGTTTGTTCTCCTGCACATGGTCTAGCTGATATCGGTCTGGTGTGGTGTCGGCATTACCCTCCTTATTTGACGAACATGACGCTGCATAGACCAAATGTGAGTGTTGTTACCAACCCATCTCGTAGTGTTTGGAATCAACACATGTATTCTGACAAGGCATTTTCTGTATGTAGAGAGTAACATGTTACCTGGTCTGATGCTATTCCCAATGAACCACTGAACAGACGCATCATCTCTGTTAGGTACACACTCTAGGTCGACCACGCTACCTGCTGCAACATTCAAAATGCTAGGAGATCTCTCTGTAAAGGCCAGTGCCTCACTGCGTCGACTCTCGTTGAACCTTCTCTCTACGTTTGGAGAATATGCAACTGTTACATTCTTAGAACGTAACCAATGAAGATATCTTGACACGCTTGTGTAGAACCCGTATTCCCCCTCCTTATTACACCCGACGCCCCAGCTTACAATACCCAGTTGATACCACCGTCCATCATCATGACGAAAAGCAAATGGACCCCCACTGTCGCCTAGGCAAGCGTCCCGCAGCGGACTGTGGTAACCTGCACAAAACATGCTGTCAGTAAACTCCCCTTCTTTTTCGTGAACACTCTCCTCGCAAGTGTGCCGGTCAACAATAGGTAACTCCACCTCCTTCATAAACTGGTTGGTTGGACCACTGAAAGTCTCTTGTCCCCATCCGGTCACGCGTCCGGTCGTGCGTTCGTTGATACTGGTCTCCATGAGACGACTGGCTAGACCCCAAGGGGCCAGGCAAATAGGACGAATGTAAGGAGTGAACTCCCACAGTGGTGGGTCGATACGTATCAGGGCAATGTCATTATCATAGTTTGTCTTGTCATAATCTTCATGCACAATTATTTCCGCTGGCTGTCGGCTCTTTTCGGACTCTTCTTTTACGTATGAATCATGGTCACCGAAAAATAAATTAATGTTTTCCTTTAGAATCAATTTTTTGTTCTTGTCAAGCATGCAATGCGCAGCAGTCAAAATCCACCTCTGGTCCAGGAGTGTCGCACCGCAGGTGAAGGTCCATGAATTCACAGTCCTTTGTTCCCAAATTCGGACCATGTAGGGCGCCGAACCATGATTTGCTATAATTCCTCCGACCACACGGCCTGCTTCGTTTAAATTTTCACTGCTCCAGTCGCTTGAACTTCCAGCGACCTCGGGTTGAGCAACTATTACTTGCGCTGGTGAGGGAGTAGTTTGTGATTTGCTCTCTTTCCAGTAAGTAATTGTGCCGCAAACTAGGAATAAAACAATACAAAGAAAGTACTTGTAGTCATTTTAGTAAGAGTAGAGATCAATTAAGCTCTTTTCAGCATTTCAATATATGACATTCAATGATTTAGAAGCGAGTTATTTCCATTGAGTGAAAAAACATATATTATATATACATAATATTAGCTTTCCGTAACCATGTTTATAAGTCAATAATAGTAGAGGCTGGTAGTAGTAGTAGTATAGTAGAAATAGTAGTAGAAGTACCGTGAGGAGTAGTAGTAGTAGTAAGCAGTAGCAATGGTAGTAGTTAGTAGTAGTACTAGTAGCAGCATTGGTGGATCCAGGATTTTCCACAAGGGATGCCAAAGCCAACGTGTACGCTATAACCTACGGACGCTCTCGAGTTTTTTTCAATTCAGCTTATTTCAGGTTTTTTCTTTTCTTTTTGGGGGGTCTTTTTTCCCCCTCTTTTTCCTTTTCTCTCTCTCTCTCTCTCTCTCTCTCTCTCTCTCTATCTATTCTCTCTTTTCCCCTATTCTCTATTGTCAGGCCGCCACAAAAAGGGGAGGGTCGCGGTCGATTCGTCCCCTCCCCACCCCTCCCCCACTCATCACATCCAATATAGCCGACCCGTCACTCAGGATAGCAATTTGTTTTCTACACTGTTAAGGTGTTCTGCCGCGTAGCGTAGCAGAGCACCTATTGATTTTGTCAGAATATATGTTTTTTCTTCTTTTTTCCTTTCTTTCTGTGTGGATTGTTTTCGCTTCATATCTCATGAATGACTTGTCATTTCTGAATGATGATATGCATATATACACTTCAGGGCTAGTTGTCCTAGGGGTTGTTGTCTGGGGATAGTTGTCCGAGGAGCAGTTGTCCTAGGGGATAATTTTCCTAGGGGGTAGTTGTCTGGGGGTAGTTGTCCTAGGGGGTAGTTGTCCTAGGGGACAGTTGACTGAGGGTGGTTATCCGTGGGGTGGATGTCCAGGGGGTAGGTGTCCGGATACGGTCTCAAAGGCTTTGATCCTAAGAATGAAACGCCGATAATACCAAACAACAACAACAACCTACCTGTAGAAATGTCAATCTGAGGTGGATCAGTCAAATAAAGCCAGGCATGTACTCGACCCTTGGTTCGCCCGAACTGGTCACGAGCAACGCAAGTGTACTTTCCTACATTTTCATCCCTTATATCTTTCAGATATAGGTTTCCTCCAAGCTGCAAGATAAAAGAATCAAATAAATAGAACCACTTGAATGTATGGAAATACATCTTATATATAAGCCTTATTTAATTCATGAAAAGATCAGGGGCCCAAGTTTATTCAAAATAGTTTTTATTTATATATATTTTTTCTTTTAAAGAATGTATTCACATCCCCGGAATATAATGTTTAATTCATGAAAATGATTTTATTTCGTTATTTCTTGGCGGCCGAAAAATTAGGACGGGCTTGAACATTTCTTCCTCTCATTTTCAAACGTCACGTTTGTTCACAAATTTCCGGAGTTTGTCTCGTTAACGGAGGACATCCAATATCCTCCAAATACGTCCATCTCTCTGACTTATCAATCGAAAGTCACTGTTTGTGCAATATCATGGTTTAACAAAAGATTTCAGCTGTGAGAACATGGCCTTTTCCTCAATAAACAGATAATAAGAGCAATAATAGAAGAGTTCCTATATATTGCATTATTCCTTTGAAAGGGGTCTCAACACGCTTAGGAAAAGTAAGAAATAAATCAATTACAAAAGCAATTTTCATCAATACATTTGGCTCATGAAGGATAAAACCGGAATAACTTTTCTTTGAATATTTTTAAAAATATAGAAAAATGACAATTTTCAGTCTTTTTTCATTAGCTAATTGATTTCAACATTCTTGCTTCGAACACGCACATAATTGAATTATTTCTTGTATTCTTCCATACGATAGCAAGTGTATAACATTGATCCCAGTTCGAAAATGCGACAAATATGGGCCATTTAGAAAAGCTATTGAATTCAAGAGACCCCAGTGGGCAACTGCCCTTAATTTAGAAAATTAGTAACTCACGATGAGAAGGTTTCCTTGTTCCAGCGGTCGCCCATCCTTCTCCCAGATGACAGTCCATGTGTTTTCTATGGGAGAGCACAGGAACTGATGATCGTCACCGATATCGACATACGCATTCACGGGAACGAATTCGAAGTAGCTTCGGGGGTCGAAAGCTGTCAGCAATGCAAATTAAGGCAATGAAGGAATTAAATGAAGGAACAGTGGCTTATCTAGACATTGGCGTGGGGGAGGGGGGGGGGGGGTCGGAAATGTCCATGCAAAACCAATGATGATCCATGTAATTCAGCAAGAAAATCTTTTTCCCGACCCTGTTTTTTATTCCGACAGACGTTATCATTTTGATTTATAAAATTGTATGATTTTAATATGTATCATATACAAGTAGCTGTGGTAATTTTGTTTCCTGATTGGACGTTTTGGGGTGGTGGCTCTCCATTTGCCCTTTAAAATGCGCTTGTGTGAAGGAGGTAGAAATGAGACAATTCATACAATTTACTTCGTTTTGTTTGTATGAACAATAAACTTAACTCTTAGTATTGACAAACCAACCTGATACTAGGCAATCTATTCTACCAGGAATGATATTTGAGAGGAAGGAACTTACTTATACTGGCCTCTGATCTTATGCATTCCCTGTCTCCAGAGTATACAACGCACGAGTAGTTTCCTCCGTGTCGTGCATCGAAGCTTGGAATGATTAGTTGGTTGAGATGGTTGATGAAGATACCGTCTACAGCACCTTAGGACGAATTTGATAGAAACCAACCATGTTATGTTTTGTTTTTATGGTCTCGAATTACTTTGAAAATGTATCGCTATGTAACACCTTTACCAGATTGGCAGGGACGCAAAATAAACACATATTACCTACTCACGCCGCCAAACGGACTCAATACCGACTCTTACTACCAAGAAAGACACTTAATTGTCTTTAAAATGGCATTCCGTCATAAAAATACATAGCGGTTTGTAATATCTTGTTTCCACAAAATTGACGTTACTTTCAAAACGGATAAAAAAAGGATCTTTAATTAATCTTTCACCCGGCACCCCTAGAGAATTTATAAAAACGCTGCACTAGACGACGAAACCTCTACATATTTCGTGGATGTGTGTGGAAATTGTGTATGTGTGCATAGGAATTTATTGTCGTTGTAGAATTATCTGAGACTATTATTGTTACAATATTTCTTGCCCCTTGTTGAATTTTTCTCGGGCTTTCACTGGTCTGCTTCTCTCTCTCTCTCTCTCTCTCTCTCTCTCTCTCTCTCTCTCTATTGTGGGGGTGTTTTTCCTCTTCGTTCTCGATTTATTTGTATCTAGTTAATTTAATCGAAATTATACAATGCAAAATGTTACTATTCACTGATTCAATGCATGATTTTACTATTAGTTTTGTTTTGGTTCATTGATCGGCTTCCCATAAGAAGACCGTAAGTGTCATGGACAATACAAGGCTCTTATCGACTTATGAGGAGAGCCGAAGATTTACTTTTTATTTACTATTTTGATATCAAAACTAATAGTCAAATCATGCATTGAATCAGTGAATAGTAACATTTTGCATTGTATATTTCGATTAAATTAACTAGATACAAATAAATCGAACAAAAATATTATTGCAAACACTGTTTCGTAAGTTTGAATATTCGAGAACGAAGAGGAAAAACACCCCCATAATAGAGAGAGAGAGAAGCAGACCAGTGAAAGCCCAAAATGTTATTTAGGGTACGCATATGCTCGTTCCCTCTTTTTGAAAGCACCCCCTATCTGAGGACTGCCAACATTTCCGAACCCCCCTTTAGCGGGCTTTTCGCGGGCTTTTCCTGCCTTGGAGACCCCCCTAAATCAGGAAAAATGCTCAATGTACCCCCCTAAATTCGGAATAATTTCTCAGGAGTCCAAAGAGATGAGAGAAAAAAAGAAAAAACATACCCTTTTTAAAGAAATCTCCGGGTGAAAAGTAAAAATAGCCCTCTTGTACCATGTAACTAAACCTGAATTGTTTTTTTTTAATCGGTTTTTGATGATGTCCCCACCTGAATCCAACCTTTGCCCATCTTTGAGCCATGTCAGGGTTGCATCTTGGTCGCTGACCCGGCACCCCGGCTGGAATAGATCTCCTTCAGCTACTTCTAAATTCTGAGGTTCTTCAAGGAAAACCAGATCGGGATTACAAGAGGGAACGGTTCGATTCCTAGCATCTGCAGAGGATAGATCATTAAAAGTGTTAATAAACGATGTTAAAAATATCACAATCATGCTAATATGATTCCTTTTCTTAGCCATTAATGCATTTTAATACTTGAACTTCACAACGGATCAAGGAAAGCCAGGTCTTGATTACAAGATGAAACGGTTCGAGTCCCAGAATCTGCAGATGATAGATTATCAGAAACGAAATTATGATTCTTTTTTTATCCAAAAACATTTTTCCTTCAGCCAAATCTTTAGAAATTCAAGAGGTTGCATTATTTTGTAATGTCAATGTATCATTTAAGGTATGACTTATTAAAAGATGTCTCATATTAACCGCGAAGCTGTGAAAGAGATATCAGACATGTAATTAATACGATTTTTTTTTTTTGGGGGGGGGTATGGCTTGCCAGAAGTTCACATTGTCACTGTATGCAAATCGTCAGGTATATCTTTGAAATTGAGGTCGCTATCTATGACTAGGGATTGAAAAACTAACCCTGTTCACAGTGTATGGGAATCCCAATCCATTCACCATGCTCGTCACATATTCTCCTGTCTTCTCCTCCAACACTCACAACCGCAGAAAAAATTGACCAGAATTAGATTTTGGTTTTCATAGTAATGTTCCTTTTTGAGTGTATCCGAGACTAAAATGAACATGTGGCATTTTCTTTTAAAGGGTCTACACACTTTAGCTATTTCTTGTTATATTTTTTAATATGGTATTTCAGCAGAAATCCTTTTCAGTGGGCATTTTTCTGTACGATATTCTTCCACACTAATATCAACAGAATGAACAACGCTCACAAACTATCTGTCACTTTTCACAGAACTCAACCTTCTCTTTATGAAATTGATACATAAATCGGAATGTTCCTTACTGTTTGGGATGCACACGATTTCGTTTCCTCCACCCCACTGTCTGTTGCTCATACACCGTAGCCTGCGGCTTCCAGAATGATAAATGTAGCCCTCTCCACAAGAGAAATTGGCGTAGCCATTGAATCGCCGTTCAGGGGGGTCGTAGGTCACTGAAATACCTGCTTGATCAGCCACTTCCGGGCAGAAATAGTCTGGAATAGATATGTCTAAATGCTCATTTTTTAAACGAATTATTACAGGCTGAAAGATCGAGGTGTATAACTAAAGAGATATTATAACCGAGTATTTCCGGTACTTCAGAGCAGGGGCGAATAGCTTGGGTACATTTACTTAGGGGGTCTGATGTCACAAGAGGGTAGGGGCATGACCGTTCTTGATATGCAAGGGAACATGGCTAAGAATTGGGTAGGGTGTTTATTTCCCTGGCCATCTCCCTATCATTCTTTTACACCTCTCACCTTCCCATTTGCAATTCGATTCGGGGGGGGGGGGGGTGGTGGGGTGGTGGATGGGGTCACGTGCCTCCCAATCCACTCACCGTGCTTAAGAGCGTGTATTCTTAGGTAATCTTTATTTTCTTAAAATCAACTTCAACAAATATGACTCAGGTATTTGGATAGATCCAGGTTTGTAAACCAATGTAGGACAGCGGAGAATGCCTATTATTATAACAGACGGAAATAGAGCAGAGTTTATAAGAATTCGAGTATTATTATCTTGTGCCACATTATGACAACGTCATTTTTCAAATGTCATTTTATCGTATTCTTTTTCTACTATAAAGGTAGTCCTGATAGTATGCCCAAAACGTCGTTGTAAATTACAGTCTATACACATATTGTTCTCTTTTATTTTAGTTACGTGTATTTCAAATAGATTTGAACGGTTTGTTTAGATATTGACGAGAAGCGGTCAGTACTTACAAATTGGAATACAACTCCATCCACACACCCCGTCGCAATGACATCGCCTGTCTCCAGGACAAGCCCCCTCAAGACGATTCCTGCATTTGGTCTGACAATCCCGTCCGTAGATCTGGACCAAGCCTTCATGACGTTGACAATTTCTCGCTGATTAAGGACAAAACAATGTAAAAAATAAATAAAATCTAGCCTTTTATATTAATACTCCAACCTTAACTGTGTTCTTATTCTTTATTTACCATCATCTGTTTTACATGATCTACATAATTGCGCACAGGCGTCTGGTCTTTGTAGGTGTGCCTCGCAAACTACTTCTATTGTAGAACACAATATCATTTACCCCCTACTATTTATTTGGCCAATATTGTTTGAATTACTTTAAAGTAATTCATAAAATATTGGTCAAATAAATAATAGGGGGTACATTATATATGCACATTCGTTTCATGTCATTTCGTCTTTATTTCACAAACCATGATTAGAAAAACATGTTATTAATATAACATATAATACATAAATCTGGTGGTATAGAAAGTAAGAAATAGCATTGAACAATCTAATAATTGTTCGATGCTATTTCGTACTCTCTATACCACCAGATTTATGTATTATATGTTATATTAATAACATGTTTTTCTAATCATGGTTTGTGAAAAAAGACGAAATGACATGAAATGAATATGCATATATAATCTTATATACACTGTCGCTCATATAGTTTTACCTCAAGTTATGGAATTATTTTGACAATGATTTATTCCTAATAGATCTAGATAATAGTATACATTCTCAGATTTTAATGAATAATACTTTGCCAGTGTTTGTTTTGCGTGACTGCTAAAGCATGTGTATGCTACTATGCTTATCAAATTTAAGAAAAAACCCAGAAAATGCAATAAATTTTTAATAATTCATCGAATTTCCCCCGGTCCCCAACATAAAAAAATGTTTCTGTGTGCACATGCCTTAAGCCATAATACATGGTCGTACAGAGGATTTGTTTATGTTGGGGACCGGGAGAAATTCAACGAATTGTTGACAATTTATTGCATTTTCTGTTGTTGTTGTTTTTGTTTTGTTGGGGGGGGGGGGGGACTGCCCCCTACCCTAGCCCCCGCTGCGTACAGCCATGGTTCAGTGGCAAAGCAATGGCCTCGTAACTGTGAGGCCCCAGGATCAAAACCGTGTCGATGTGCCGTATTAGTTCCCTTTTATGGGGCATTAATCCTCATTACTGTCATTTATGACTTAAGGGCGTAGGTCCCCTAGTTGATAAGCATAGTAGCATACACATGCTTTAGCAGTCACGCAAAACAAACACTGGCAAATTATTATTCAATAAAATCTGAGAATGTATACTATTATCTAGATCTATTAGGAATAAATCATTGTCAAAATAATTCCTTAAATTGGGGTAAAAAAAAAATATTCAAACTATATGAGCGACAGTGTATATAAATATTTACCGTGATCTAAGATCCACACACTTTGTTTGAGCCCTTTCAAAACTTCCTCATTCTTACTCATACCTACCGACATGACGGACATCTCCTGCAATAATGACTCTACAACATAACTGAGCCAAGCCCTTGTCCAGAGTAACTTGATGCACCCAGGAGTACTTAAGCCATGGTATCATCCGACCCGCGTGTGCATAGGGAGGGGTCCACGTAGAGATTGAGGGGGGGGGGGGGTACGTGGCCCGCGCGCACTAATCAAGTGATTTGAAGCTACGCGTACCTGACCTCCGCGAGCCTTCATTTTCCTACGTGGAGAAAAAATGGACATGCGCAATCATGGCTGGTGCGTGGCTGGTGCGTATGGGGGCCTGTGGGGGGGTACACAGGGGTATAATACTTGCAACTTTTCATCGTTATTTGCAGGGTAAACAAGTTACAAAATAGGATTTGTGCATCAGTCTTCGTTTTATCGGACCTATGTAGTCCACCGTACCACGTACTGCCCACGAGAACACCTCGAAAAAAAAAGCATTTTCTACGTGGACCGGACGCAGGTGATCATGTGACCACTCCGAGGTAAAATTTGCCCACGTAGAAAAAATGGCCACATTTAAAAATGTACTACCCTAAGTGGGTCGGATAAGACCATAGCTTGACGAACACGTCCGCAACGGGGATCAAGCCCTTGTCCAGACTTTCATGATCTACGTACAAACATGCATGTCTGTCGTGATGGGCCACGTCCATGTCAGACTTTCACGATCTCCCTACGAACACGTCCGCAACGGGTACAATGCCCCTGCCTAGACTTTCATGATCTACTTACGAACATGTCTGCATCGGGGCAACGGTCCTGTCCACGATCCATTGGTGCATGTTGTTCTCTCAAAAGCCGTGGGCACGATCTGATATAAGACACCACACTCAATAAGTGCAACAGTCCCGTCAGGGTGGGGTGCTAGACCTTCCGGTTCATACGTGAATTCCGCAAAATCAATCTCATTGATGTTATCGCAGCTCGATGATACCCCTGATTAAGACAGGATGAGGCAGATAATAATTGATAGCGCATTTCATCAATATTTACCGGCTTATGCCAAAAGGGTGGGTAGCGTCGCGTCGCGTTGACTTGAACGCGACCATTCGTCCAAAGCCCCCCCCCCCGGTTTTGCCGAAAGGGTGCGTTGACTAGTCTTCCACATCACTCGTTTATAATATAATTTAAGGAATATAATTTAAGTTGTGTAAACTAAAATAATCAAAATAGAAACAGATTAAAAATTAAATAAAACTAGTTTTTACGTAGTTTTGCAAATCAGGTGTTTATAAGAATTAAATCAACTAATGAATTCAATAAATATATAAACATGTCAAATAGAAATAATATCCATTTCTTTCTTTGTATAGAATTCTTTTTTTGATGTAAACTAGTCAGTTAGAAAGACATCGCCTCAAGTGAAAGGCCACCAACTTTACCCAAGCAAAAAGTCAGATCGACGTTGCTCTGTCTCTTATTGTTGAACGCCAAACAAGGTAGCAGCAACTCCCGTCTTTTAACGTCTTTGGGTATGACGCGGCCGTAGAAAAACCTTTATTTGACATTTTTAAATATCGGTGATAATTATTTGATTGCTTTTCTTGTCATTTATTGATTTAATTCTTATAAGCGCCTGATCTGAAAGACTACGTACAAACTAGTTTAATTTAATTTTTGAATTGTTTCTATTTGGATTTG